AGGAGGGGCGATAAGAGGACGACAAGGATTGCCAAGTTGCCAGCCGACTGTTCCGCTTGCTGCTCTCCAAGAACTGCATGGAGCAGAAGCAATGGTAGGGAGGGGGGAAAGTAGGGGAGAAAGGGTGGCGTTAGGCTAACGTATAGCACAAAAAACGGAGATGGCCACTGTTCTGTCTGCTGCCCTCCAAGAACTGCATATATGACAGGTGAAAGGCTGCTGTTCCATTTCTTTTCACTGATTCATTTGCAACTGGGAAGAACTGGCTGATGCAGTATTGCATGTAGCAACTCTTCATTGCATCGACCAGCCCTCTACTGTATGCGAACCTCGTTCTCTTTTTGCGGGTCGGCGTACATGGATTATGGACCCGAAGAGAGACTGATATTTTGCCTCACGGATGACTAGAAAAGGAAGAGAAACTGAATTGGGGCGCGAAGTCTTTTTTTTCTGGTCACCTGTGAGGTCAAAATTTAGTTTCACTTCGGGTCCATAATACGTGTACGCCGCTCTGCAAAAGGATGACGTGGTTCGCACACATTAAAGGGCTGGTCGATGCGATGGAAAGCCGCACCATGCAATACCGCATCACCTAGTTTTTCCCAGTAGCAAATGGATCAGTGAAAAGAAAAGGAAAAACAATCTCTCACCTGTCATACAGCATGACCGCCTCCAGTGGGCTGCAGAATGGCTGACCTGAATTCTGGCCTTATTTTTTCTTTCTTTTCTTTTCTTTTCTCCCTCCCAATTTAGTGAAGAGAAAATTGGGGAGGCTGATCGTGACTCACAACAGCCAGATGTGGGTAACACCAAAGAAGGTTCTCCCCCACCGGTTTCTCATACCGGTTCTCTCACTTCCCATATCTCATCAGCCCTAACTCTTTCTCTCCATCTCTCTCCCCATCCCACCAGGCAGCGGAACTTGCGATGATATCTCTTGCGGACGCACGGCAGCTGCTCTACCGAATGACCCTATTTTTTTCCCTCTCTCCATCTCTCTCCATCTCTCCCCACCCCACTCCATCTCTTGTACGATCCCACCAGGCGGCAGAACTTGCGATGATATCTCTTGCGGACGCACGGCAGCTGCTCTACCGCATGATGCTGGATGATTTCGTGCAGCTGCAGGTATGGTGTGGTGTGGTGTGGTGTGGTGTGGTGTGGTGTGGTGTGGTGTGGTGATTGGAGGTGCAGGTGCGGCATGATTGCACAAAGTTGTGAATGTAACTGCTGCTTGTGCAGCTGCTCTACCGAATGATGCTGGGCGAGTTTGTGCAGCTGCAGGTGAGCTATGGGTGTAGTTGCTAGACTGATTGTATGATTGTTATGCATGTCTCTAGTGGCTCAGCCGCCCTACCGCATGATGCTTGATGAGTTCGTGCAGCTGCAGGTATGGCATGGTTTAAGGTTCAGTGTGTCGGGTATTGCACGTGTGTGCTCCGTGTTGCACAGCTGCTCTACCGAATGATGCTGGATGAGTTCGTGCAGCTGCAGGTATGGCATGGTTGAAGGTTTGATGTGCAGGCTATTGCATGTGTGTGTGCTGTGTTCCTCGGCTACTCTACTGAATGATGCTGGACGAGTTTGTGCAGCTGCAGGTATGGCATGGTTGTACGTGCTAGATACTCTAGCTGGCTCCTCTAGGGCCGAGGTATGTGCTTGTACGCACGGCAGCTGCTCTACCGCATGATGCTGGTCGAGTTCGTGCAGCTGCATGTGCGGTGCGGTGATTGCGAATGCCGTGTGTTAATTCCAGTCTTCCAGATACGATATGAGTGCGTGTTCCTCAGTGACTAGGTTTAGAGACTTCCTCAGTGTGCATGCACGCACACCTGTTATGGCAGTGTCTCTTTTTTTCGATCCCGCCACCCACTCAGGAATTTCGCAAGACAGCAGACCACGTCCCCCAGAAGACCTTCCACATAGCAACAGTTCTGCCACGCGTGCTCAACCACATGTGCCACCGTATCCCCTCTATGGCTGCCCATCCTTCTCTTTCCACAGGAAGTTCCCAAAACGGCAGACCACGCCCCTCAGAGGACCTTCTATCTCTGGCGCATTCACATTGCAACAGTTCTGCCTCGCGTGCTGAATCATATGTGCCATGGTGCATGTAACCTGCGGCTGAGACTGGAGCACGAGATGCAGCAGGAGCAGGAGGTGAGGACCGTTTGCGAGGGGCAGAAGTGGGCATGCATCTAGTGACTGTTCTCTCTGCTTGACGGTTCTGCCCCGTGTGCTGAACCACATGTGTCATGCTGCCTGCAACCTGCGGCTGAGATTGGAGCATGAAATGCAGCAGGAGCAGGAGGTGAGAGTGAGGGAGGCAGTTGGAGAGGATATGGCGAGTGCTTCTCATTCATGTACTTGTTAACCAATGTGCCTGTAACCCTTGTGACACTCTATCAGGTGCTCTCTCTCCTGGAGCAGATAGAACAGGCGCACACAGCACACAGCTCGAGCGGTGCTGGCAGTTCCGCTTGTGAAACCGTGTTCTCTCTCACCCATGTAATCTGTGTGTTTGTAACCCATGTGCTTGATGTGCCTGTAACCCACGTGTGACTCTACTAGGTGCTCTCTCTCCTGGAGCAGATAGAACAGGCGCATGCAGCACCTGCTGCTGGTGGTGGTGGGGCGCCAGAGAAGGCAGTGACGCTGACGTCAGGGCAGAGGAAGCAGCTGGAGAGGATACGGCGAGTGGCTGCAGTGCTGGAAACGTCACTACTGCGCCTTGACGATACGATAACACTCTTCTCTGCGTTCTAGAGTAGGTGGGACAGAAACAGGGGGGACAGAGGAAGCAGCTGGAGAGGATACGGCGAGGGGCGGCGGTGCTGGAGACTTCTTTGCTGCACCTTGGCGATACGATAACACTCTTCTCTGCGTTTAAAGCTGCTAGGGAGATGGGGATGCACGGCAATACAAAGCCTCGTTTTCACATCAGTGTTGGAGACCTCATTGTTGCGCCTTGATGATGCCAACACCCTCCTCTGCATTTTAGGGGTGGCTTGGAGATTGGGGAGTGGGGGGAGCAGGGGTAGTAGGGCAGCAGTTCAGCATAAAGTGTCTACTATATAGCCCTCGCTGCTGCGCCTTGCCATGCATCACTCTGTTTCCTGCGTCCATTTCTGGGAATGTAGTACCGTAATTTTTTTCTTTCAATTACGCTTGCCAGCCACCCCACCATCCTCCAGTACACCACACCGCAGCCTATAACAGATCTGGTTCGGCATGCTCCTATGACGAAGCATGCTCCTCTTATTCAATCGATATATCCATTATGTGTTTTTCCTCCTGAGTAGATTGTGTGAACTTGGCGAACACAAGCGAGACTAACAATGCAGCAGATTGTCAAGACTCAAAGCATAAGTGGATAAATCTGGTTCTTGAAAGAAAACGGTTCAAAATACTCAAAATATGAGCACACAAAGAAAAAAAGAAAACAAGAAAAACAAACAAGCAAACAAAGAACGCACACAAAAGCACAAGCGACAACCTAATGACAGAATGACTGTTTAGCCCTCTCAAGAGCAGGTATGTCGACGAATGAAAGACGGCAAGTCTTCCGACAAAGCAAATTTTCCCCGTGCAAGAAACGGGAAGCGTTGTATTGCACAAAATTCCACCACCGCCCCAAGTCTCTCCGCCAACGGTCTTTCACCACCAAGTACCCATCTATGGTGTTTTGCCCCCAATTTCCCACCAACGTAGACGATGCATGGCTCGAAAACCACCCCCAGATCAAAACGGCCCTGCCTGCCTTGCACTGCTTCTGCGCCAGCCAATAAGAGACACCAATAAGAGGCAGAACCATTTGCAACCCGAATCAGTTTGCTCGCAACTGCCGCCATTGGAACGCCTTCAGCCTACAGCAGCAACCGCCTGCTGTTCCTGCTTCTGTTAACCAAAACCACCAACATTTCTGCAGCAGGAGGAAGGTTCAACCATTGAAACTGATGCACCCGCGAGAAAACTTCTGCCACCGAAATCTCTGCAGCTGCAACTGCCACTGAAAGCCCTGTAACTGCAGCTGAACCTGCCTAGCAAAACTGCTGCCATGCCACCAAAATCACTGCATCTCAGACAGCTGCTGCTGATTTCAAAAAGTCCGAAAAAAAACTACCCATCTTCGCAACCCCCGAGATCAAACTCTTCCCAATCAAACCGCACCCACTGCCGCCGGAATATTAGCTGCTCCAAATGCTGCAATAGAATCAAAGCTCCAGATTCTGACCCTGCTGTCCCAAAAAACTGCTCTGGAACTGATCATTACTGTCAAATGCAGACCACACCATGACTTCTTCTGCAGACCAATCACCGAATGCTGGCGCTATGACTGGAACACCGAAAGCTGGTGGAACCCTAAGCAGCGGCAGCTGCTGCTGGAGCTCCGCGCTGCTGCTGCTGGTTCTGATGCTGCCACCCCGGATTCGTGTGCAAAGGAATGGACGAAAAGGGCTCCGAATGACAGCCAGTCAACCGCTCCATGGTCACATAGATGAATGTGATCAGTCGTCGCATCCACGTCAGCATAGTCAAAGAGTTGATTAAGAAGAGTTGATTATTCCCAACTGTCCCTCCCTCTCTCCAGCAAACCCGTAAAAAGTGGGCAGCTGTAACCGTCCTCAGAACGATCGAAAGGCTTGAAAAAACAAAAAGGAGAAAAAAAAAAATTGTGAAGACAATCAGCAGGAAGACCAGCAGGTGTGTTACTCCGCTGCTGCGACTGCTGCAGCAGCAGGAATAGGTCCCGAGACATAAGGAGCAGCAGAGACCGACAGAGGGGCAGCAGAAGAGGGAGCGGAAGAAAGAGCAGGGGCAGGAGCAGGAGGAGCAGTGACAGACAAGGCATGAAACGTGAGCTCGGCGGGTTTGAGTGACTGGGTGATGGGCAGGCGTGTGGAGAAGGCGAGATCGAGGAGAGAGGTTGAGGGGCGGGATGGGGAGGAGAGCAGGGGAGATGCAGACGAGAGGAGTGGGCTGGAGGAGGGGGTGGAGACATGTGGAGCAGTAGCACGAGTGGTGGCGCTGGTAGGGGTGGAATCATCAGCAGCAGCACCCGGGGCAGCAGGGGCAGCAGGGAGTGGTGATGAGGAGGGTGTTGTCTCTGCTGCTACTGAACTGCCATCAGCAGCAGGAGCAGAGGGTGGTGACTTGGGCGGGGACTGTGAAAGGGGAGCAGCTGGTGGGGATGGAGCAGCAGCCGCAGTGGTGGTTGGGGAAGCGATTGGCTTGGAGATGACGTGGAGCATTTCCCGCATGGCGGCCTGGAGAAGAAGGAGAGGGGAAGGTGGGAGGGCATTGAGGGAAGAAAGGTGGGGAGGAGTTAGAGCATTAAAACGGCTGGAGGAAAATAGGAGGCAACTGGCTTGGAGATGATGTGGAGCATTTCCCACATGGCGGCCTGGAAAAGGGCGAGACGGGGTGAGGGAGTGAGTGCGGGCGGGAGTGGGAGGGGAGGAGGGAGGTACAGACAATTAGAAACGCGGTGGTGGCAGTGGAAAGGGTGGGGAGGAGAGGAGCTTGGAGATGACATGAATGATTTATTGAATGGCCACTTGGGAGAGGAAGAGATGGGTGAGGGAGCAAGTGATGGAGTTCAGACAATTAAAAGCGTGTCTGGTCCAGGGAACATCCAACAAAATCAACGCGGAGGAGTTTCCAACGCTTGGAACGTACATTCAGAGCCAGTGCATTTTCGACATCAGCTGCCCAGGAAAACCAAATATTTTACAGCCCATGCAAGGCCGAACCTTGCATCCAAGTGTCGAAAATGCAACGCCTCTGAATGTACATCCCAAGCGTTGAAAACTCCCCCGCATTGATTTTGTTTAACTGACTGCCAAACACGTGCACACCTACGTACCCCCCCCTTCCCCCCTTCCCCACCCACGCACATAGCTGCACGTGCCACATGGCAAACGAGCCCGAGCCGATGTTAGCGCCAGGGCGGAGCGGGTCGTCAATTCAAACAGCAATTCCAATTAATCCATACACCGGCACTTACACACCCTCCACCCCCCCCCCCTCCCTTCCCACCCACCCACACACCTGCACGTGCCACATGGCAAACGAGCCTGAGCCGATGTTAGCCCCAGGGCGGAGCGGGTCGTCAATCCAAAGAGCAGCCGGCGGCATGGATGGGTCCCTCCAAAACACGCCGCCCGGCATGCCGTTCAGACCCTGCGAGATGGAGAAGAGGAGAATGTTCAAGAATGGGAATGAGAAGCCACGGTGCAGCAGCAGGACAAGGCACAGAGGGGCCTCCCCAGAGCACTATCGTCTCATTTACTCTCAGAATGAGGCACACGTGAAAAGGTCAATTTCCTGGCCAAAAAGATGCAAGAATTTGAGTGTGTTCAGGCATCTGAAACGCTGAATATCGTCTCACTCACCCTGAGAATGAGGCGCACGCGAGACAGGTCAATCTCCTGACCAAACAGGTGCAGGAAACCAATGAGCAGCACTCCCAGGTTCGGCACAGGTACGGACTGCGCCGAGCCTGGCAAGTCGTCCACCACCACCCCCTTTACAGGCCCGTCCGCTGCAGTCACTTCACTCGCCTTGCTGCTGCTACTGCTGCTGCTATTCTCGGCAGCTGGCTGTTTTTCTTCTGTGCCAGTCGCAGCATCAGCATCTGCAGACCCGGCAGCACCATCACCAGCAGCAGCAGCAGCAGCAGTGGTGGCATCGTCGCCACCCGAAGCAGCAGCTGCAGCGGTGGCAGCAGTATCTGAAGCAGCCACATTTTCCGCTGAAGCAGCAGCAGCAGGATCAGCACTGCCATCAGCAGCAGCAGCATCGCCACAGGCTTGCTCAACCTTGGTTTCTGCAGGCTTACATTCTGGTGACTTGGCTGCTGCCTCAGGACCAGCAGGAGCAGGAGGAGGAGGAGGAGCCATGCCACATGCCACAGGGGCTCTCTGCGGAAAATAGAAGGGGAGAAAACGGGCACATAGAACAGTTGCGTCTCTCAGCTCAACCCCAGCAGCATTACTGTGTTTTAAGGTTTCTATTACTGCAGCCTCAGCATAGGCACAAGTAGCGGCAAGAGGAGGGTGTGCTCAGCATGCCACGGTCGGAACTCGCCCCACAGTGCACGCAACAAGGAAAGACGGAGCGCACCTCAAGGTACATGCATTATACTCAAGGAGACACGCATTATAGTAGCATAATAGTCAAGGAGACAAGCATTGTAGTCAGGGACAAGGGTTTATAATGAACGCAACTCAAGTGATGTACCTCGAGGTAAAAGACGAGCATCATGGTGAGGGAGAAGGAGCCGAGCCCGCCAGTGTAGACATCCTTGAGACCCCGGTGGTGCAGATAGGACTTCATCAGCAGCACCTGGCGAGGGTGGGCGGAGGACAAACGGGAGAAAAGAGTTGAAACAGGCAGGCAAAGGAATCACAAGGCAGGCCAGTGTAGACGTCCTTGAGGCTGGACCCCTGGAAGGCTGGCTGGCTGGCTGGAGGGATGCACTGCACACGGAGGAGCCGAGCCCGCCACTGAAGACCCCACTGTCCTAGAGTGAGAAGAAGCCTCAAGATAATGACTCGAGAAAATGACTGCCCTCAATCCAACAGTCACCTTCACTTCACATGGGCATAAAACTCACCAGAGGAGCAAGGGCGGGCATTTTCTTGAGGCGTTCAATCACGAGCTCCCTGGCAGCCGACCCGTTGTGAGCCGCAGCCGCCTCGTCCAGCTTCCCCGTCAGCACCCTGCTGGCCGCATCCCCCACCTCCATGCCCTTGGGGCGCGGGGAGGGTCCATGCGAACCACTCTCTGTGCACTCAGTCTCACCCTAAACCCTAAACCATGAACCAGGTCCAAGCCCTTAAAGCAATGCAAATAATACTCACCAGAGGTGCGAGGGCGGGCATTTTCTTGAGCCGCTCAATCACGAGCTCCCTGGCGGCCGACCCGTTGTGAGCCGCAGCCGCCTCGTCCAGCTTCCCCGCCAGCACCCTGCTGGCCGCATCCCCCACCTCCATGCCCTTGGGCCGCGACAGGGAGAAGGTAATGTCCATCCGAACCACCCCCTGCACGCTCGGCCCCACCAGGTCCGACGCCGAAGCAGATGGCTTCAGCGCCGAACCTACCGCTGTGCAGTTTGTCTCTCCTGCTTCGCTCTCTCTCGCCAAACCGCCACCGTTCCCCTCTGTGGAACCTGAAGACCCAGCGCCTCGTTCAGGTGTCGACGGGCCCTTCTCCTTCTCCTCCTCCTCCTCCTCCTTGCCGTTGGTGTAAGCCCTCCAGCATCACCAGCAGCAGCAGCGGGGGGCAGCGGGCGGCACTTGAGCTTGATGACTGGGATGCGGGCGGTTTCAATGGTGTGCAGGCTCTCACACCACGGCTGCTTCTTGAGTGCGGCTGCCAGCTGGCGGATCAGCGGAGCGCTAATGCGCGCTCCTGGGAGGGAAAGGAGGGAGCGGAGAGGTGGAGAAATGAAAGGGATGCGGGCGGTTTCAATGGTGTGCAGGCTCTCACACCACGGCTGCTTCTTCAGTGCAGCTGCCAGCTGCCTGATCAGCGGCGCACTAATGCGCGCACCTGGGAGGGAAAGAAGGGACGGGAGGGAGAGAAATGAAAGGGATGCGGGCGGTTTCAATGGTGTGCAGGCTCTCACACCACGGCTGCTTCTTCAGTGCTGCAGCTAGCTGCCTGATGAGAGGTGCGCTAATACGCGCACCTGGGAGGAGGGAGGGAGAGAAGGGAAGGAAATGGGCATGGGTTTTTTCTTTCGAAGGGAAGGAGATGGGCATGGCGGTTTCAATGGTGTGCAGGCTCTCACACCACGGGTGCTTCTTCAGCGCAGCTGCCAGCTGCCGGATCAGCGGCGCACTGATGCGCGCACCTGGGAGGGAGGGTGGGATGGAGAGGGACGAAGGAAGGAGAACAAAATAGACTTAATGTTCGAAGCAGCACTGCCACCAGCAGCAGGGGGGCGCAATGGTGTGCAGGCTCTCACACCACGGCTGCTTCTTCAATGCTGCAGCCAGCTGGCGGATCAGCAGCGCACTGATGCGCGCACCTGGGCGGGAGGAGGGGAGGAACAAGAAGAAGACATGGCAGGCTTCTTGTTTGAAAGGCGAGCTCTGGTGGGCCAGCGACCTTTGACGCGTCCAAAAACTTGATACATTCACCTCTTGCTTTTGTGATCAGTTACAGACTCATGCGCGCACATACCTGACAGGCTGGCGAGCTCTGGTAGGTCGGCGGGGGGTGGGGGTGCATTGATCACTGCCACGTCAACATCGCTGTGAGCGAGAGCAAGGCCGGTGGCAAATGAACCAAACACCTGAGAGAATGGGAGAAAGCGGGAGAGCGGATAGAGAAAGAGGGAGCCGGGGTGGGGGTGGAAGGGGGAGTTATGGAGGGGGGGTGGGGGGGGGGGGGGGGGTGGGGGTGCATTGATCACTGCCACACCAACATCGCTGTGAGCGAGAGCAAGGCCAGTGGCGAATGAACCAAACACCTGAGAGAATGGGAGAAAGCGGGAGAGCGGATAGAGAAAGAGGGAGCCGGGGTGGGGGTGGAAGGGGGAGTTATGGAGGGGGGTTGGGGGGGGGGGGGGGTGGGGGTGCATTGATCACTGCCACACCAACATCGCTGTGAGCGAGAGCAAGGCCAGTGGCGAATGAAGAAGCCAGTGGCCAGTGGCATGGGAGTGAATAGGAGGGCGGATATAGAGGAAGGGATGGACAGTGCAGTGGGGGTGGAGGGGGTGGATGGGGGGGGGCATTGGTCACTGCCACGTCAACATCGCAGTGAGCAAGAGCAAGGCCACCGCCATAGGTCACAACACAAGACACCATCACAATACACCAGCGATGTTGCTCGCAGCGTCTCAAGCCCATCTACACCACAACTACTCACCTCCACATCGGCTCCTTCCCACAGCGATCTGACAGTGCGCCTCACACACGCCACAGCCTGCTCCGCACTGACTCTTGCCTCCTTGGGCGGCCGCACCTCCTCTGCATACGCCAGCACCTCCCCATGCAGCGCCCAGCGCACACCCCAGGCCTCCATACACCCCAGGACTCACCACATGCCAGGCCTCACCTGCACACACAAACAGTCCCTTCTAAAGGGATCACAAGCCTGAATCTCACCTCAACATCGGCTCCTTCCCACAGGGACCGCACCGTGCGCCTGACACACGCCACTGCCTGCTCCGCACTGACTCTTGCCTCCCTGGGCGGCCGCACCTCCTCTGCATACGCCAGCACCTCCCCGTGCAGCGCCGCTGCGTTTTGCAGCAGCGCAGCGGGCGGCACCGGGAACGCAGGGAACCCTGCAATCGGCACAGCTAGCATGCGTGGGTGCAGGTGCGGGAGAGGGTGCGGGTGCGGATGGGCACGGGGATGTGCGTGGGGATTGGCATGTGGGTGGAGGGGGGCTTGACCAGGGGCGTGAGTGAGTGGGGTGAAAGGGAGGGGGTGGTAGAGAGCGGAGGGAGGAGCGGTCCCAGGGAGGACACCGGCAGTTCCTGTGTGGAAAGGGGGGGCTGGAATAACGGATCCAGCTGCTGCTGCTGCTGCTGCAGGAATAACGCCTCGTCCCTGCCCTGCTACTGCTGCTGCTGGAGCAGCAGCACCAGCAGTAACAGCAGGAACGCCACTCAACGAGGCCGCAGCTGCCGCCGCCGCAGCAGCAGCTGCAGAAGCACCAGCAACGACGCCGCCTCCAGCCTGCCTCACCCCCCCTGCTGCTCCTCCTGCTGCATGAATCTCCCCTCCCTGCCCGCGGCCCCCTGCTGCTCCCCCGTGCCGATACCCGCCCCCTCTGCCCCCCCCAGCGCCAGCAGCAGCGCTGCCTCCCCCAGGTGCAGCCGTCCCCTGGCGTTGCTGGTACCTCATGGGCCGCCCGTGCTGATTCCCCTGCTGGTGCTGGTGCTGGTGCTGATGCTGGTGCTGGTGGTGCTGGTGGTGCGCTTGGTGCGGCTGCTGCTGCCGCTGCATGTGCAGAATCGGCTGCCCTGCGCCTGCCGTCGCAGCAGCAGCAGCAGCAGCAGCAGCAGCAGCAGACGCAGCGTGTGGAGGAGCTGTGGCGGTGTGCTGATGCGGAGAGGCCGCAGATGATGCAGCTGATGCAGATGCACCAGTGGATGCCCCAGGAGATACGCTACTGCTGCCAGTAGAGGCGCTACTCTTCCCCCCGTGCTGCTGCTGCTGCTGCTGGTTCTGGTGATGATGATGGTGGTTGTGATGCTGATTCTGCCGCTGCGGCTGAGACGAAACCCTAGCAGAAACTTTTGACCCTGCTCCTCCCCCTCCCCCTCCACCACCACTGCTCTTCCTAGCACCGCCCTCACTCTCACCCCCCTGGGCCTTTCCCTTCTGTCCCCCCGTCCCACCCTCCCCGGGTTTCTCAACAACCCCTTCCTTCTCCACCCCCTCTTCCTTCTCCCCTGCCTTGCCACTCTCAGCAGCAGCACTCCCTTCTGCAGCTCCATCCTGCCGCCCACTCCCTGCCTTCCTCCCATCCTTCCCCTTCTCCCCCGCACCCGCACCTCCCTGCTTCCCTCCCTTACCCTGCTGCCCCTGCTGCTGCCTCTGCCCGTCCTGCTTCCCACTGGTAGAACCCCCTCCCGCGCCATGAGACTGCGCGCCCTGGTGCTTCTGACTTCTCCCTTCAGCAGACCCAGTACCCACACCTGCCTGGCCTGAGCTTCCCTGCCCGGCCCCACCGTCCCCCAGACGCTTCAGTATGGCCGCGTCATTCCCCTGCCACGCCGGGCGCCGGGATCTCGTCGCCTGTGGTGCCGCTGCCACTGGTTTCCCATCCGCGGCTGTAGTAGCAGCAGCAGCAGGACCAGCAGCACCTGCTGCGGGTGCTGCGGTTGTAGCAGCAGCTGCTGCGCCGTTCGCGGCTGTAGCAGCACCTGCTGCCTGCCCGTCATCCGCGCCACTGCGTGCTGCTACAGCCGTGGTAGAAGCAGCACCTCCCGTCACACCACCCGTCGCACCACCAGTTGCACCCCCTGCAGCCCTATCCACCCCTTTGCCCGTCCCCTTCTTCCCCCCCTTACCTTCCTTGCCCCCTCCTGCAACCGGGCCCCCCCTCTTCACCCACACACCCGCGGGTTTCTCTTCCCCACTCGCCCTCCGCGCCCCCCTTCCGCCCGCCCCCGCAGCAGCTCCCGCCGCCCCCCCTGCTCCGCCCCTCCCTTGCGCCTTCTCCTTAGGTCCGCTAGACACTTTAATCCATCCCTCCTCCTCCTCGTCCCCAGCCTTCTCCCCGCTCGCACTCGCGACTTTAGCCGCTGGTTTACCCTCTTTTGGAGGGCTACTCGAGCGGGTTTCCCCTGGCGCTGGTGCTGGTGCTCCTGCCACAGAAGCAGGCGCGTCAGTGCTAGCAGTAGCGCCTGCTGAGTCAGAACGAGGTTCTTCCTTGCTCGCCTCCGCTGCCCCTGCTCCGCCTGCCACTCCCCCTGCCCCTCCGACAGTCTCCCCCGCGCCTCCCCCTGAGGGCACTCCCGCTGCGCCCTCCGCGCCTTCAGGACTCCCCCCAGCAGCAGCGCCTTCCTCCGCCTTTCCCAGCAAAACCGCCGCGAACGAGACATTAGCACTGCGCACCGACCACACGCTTCCACCACCTCCCGCCCCGCTTCCGCCCCCCTCCCCCGCTTTCTCCCCTTCCGCGCCTTGCTCGGAAGAGGAGGACTCTTCGCTCCGCCTATCCTCCCCATGGAGAACCCCGTTACCGTTACACTCCGCCTCATGCTCCCCTCCGCCCGCGGACAACCGCTCCTCGCTGCTGCTTCCCCCCGTGGTGCTCAGATCGGGGGAAACCAGCCCGCTCCCGCTACTAGACGACTTGCTGCAGCTGTCCGCCTCCCCCTGCCGCCACCGCCCTGCGGAATCCGCGCGACCTCCGCCATCCTTCCCGCCAACTGCATTCGGCGCGGGTGGAGGCAGCGGAACTGCTGCTCCTGCTGCGCCTCCGCCTCCCCCACGCCCTGCGCCCGCTCCTCCTGCTCCCCCTGCTCCCCCTCCGCCCCCCGCAGCATGCCCCACGCCATTCCCCGCTTGGGACTGCGCGGAGCGCCAGTGCGCCCCCTGATGCGCGTGCCCGTGCTTCTTCCCGCGGAAATGCCCCCCGCCCCCGCCGCCGGAATAGCCTCCGCGCATCCCCCGCCCCTTAGGCTTGACCTTCTCCCACTGCCCGCCCTCCTCGTCCCCCTGCTGCTGCTTCTCCCCCTCACCTTCTCCCCCTTCCAGCAAACCAAAGACTCTCAGCAGGTTGTTGGCCTGCGCGGGGAACCAAGAGGGAAGAGGGAAACGCATATTCAAAGGGTTATGTATTTGTATAGAACAGTTTTCGCAACGGCCCTTATGCTTGACCTTCTCCCACTGCCCGCCCTCCTCGTCCCCCTGCTGCTGTTTCTCCCCCTCGCCTTCTCCCCCTTCCAGCAAACCAAAGACTCTCAGACGGTTGTTGGCCTGCACGAGGAACCAGGAGGGAAAAAGGCACGTGAAAAAAAATGGGTTTTAGACGTCACAAAGCTCAAGAAACCAACGACTCTCAGACGGTTGTTGGCCTGCACGAGGAACCAGGAGGGAAAAAGGCACGTGAAAAAAAATGGGTTTTAGACGTCACAAAGCTCAAGAAACCAACGACTCTCAGACGGTTGTTGGCCTGCACGAGGAACCAGGAGGGAAAAAGGCACGTGAAAAAAAATGGGTTTTAGACGTCACAAAGCTCAAGAAACCAACGACTCTCAGACGGTTGTTGGCCTGCACGAGGAACCAGGAGGGAAAAAGGCACGTGAAAAAAAATGGGTTTTAGACGTCACAAAGCTCAAGAAACCAACGACTCTCAGACGGTTGTTGGCCTGCACGAGGAACAGGGGGAAGAAAGAAACGCAGAAACTCAGAAGTTTATGTGACTGTGATACCCAGCCATTGAGAGGGAAGATGAAGCAGTGTTGCATTCTTCGACCCTTGAGCTAGAGCTTTTCTTACTGCCCGCCCTATTCGTCCCCCTGCTACTGTTGCTGTTGCTGCTCTTCACCTCCTCCCCAATCCAGCAAACCAGAAATTCGAAGGATATTCGCCTGTAGGAGGAACAAACAAAAATCCTCCTAGACCCTTCATAAGGACTTCGTACCTTCGCCTTAGGGTACGCCTCAATTCTCCAGGCCACGCTACCTCCAAGCCAACGTGTCTTAACGCAACAACAAAGCAAAGTATTAACCAATAAACAAGCAAAAACGCTCCTGAAGCAAGCATAACTTGCCAGGAAAGGCTAAACTCGGGACTTGGGCCTGTCAAGTTCAACAACGGCTTGACCCTGCATTCACCCCTCCCAAAAAAGCGTACCTCGGAACATACCTTGGAACGTTGTTCGAAACGTTGCTTGGAAAGAAGGAGCGTTCTAGCATGGAAGAACGTATCCACCCTTGGCACAAAAGAGTTCTAGCATGAAAGAACGTACCGGCCCTACTGCATTGCTACAAAACCTTTTTCAAGTTGACTCAAAAAACAATTTCTTGCATCCAACCCTCCCAAACGAAGAACCTCAAAAAGAGAGGGAGTGCAGAACACGTATCCTTACGAACGCATCCGTCCTACTGACACAAAAGGCATGTTCTTGCATGGCATGGATCCGCCCCCTTCATAAGGAGACTGGCTATGACCCGCATTGATTTGGAACCACACAAGGGAGCCTTAGCAAGGCTCGCGACAACACCTGGTGACCTCTAGTCTAGAGATGAGGCGGCGTCTAACTGTTCTTTCGAATGACCTAGTAATCTGAACCACGAGCAAGCGTAACGTGGTGAGGGCATCTTTAGATAATGCAGCGACTGACTGTGCCTGGAAATGACCTGGTGACTGGAGATTAAAAAAGAGAGTGCGGCAAGGGGGAGCTCGAGTCGAAACGTGGTGAGGGCGACTCTAAAGAAGTTGGTGACTGAATATGCGTTGAAATGGCCAGGTTGTTTTAATCATTACCAAACGAAACTCGGTCGGTGGGAGCTAGAGTCAAAGCTTGGGTCGTGTCGGGGTAATACAGGGACCAAAGGAGCTTCACTTGGTGATTGCACCTCTAGATGAGGTAGCGAGTACTCTGGTAACACGCGCACCTCGAAAAAAGGAGACCTCAAGCCGAAAGTCAGATCCGTCAGAATAGTGCACGCACTGGTGACTACATTCTAAGGTAAGCTGGTTCGTTCAGCTAACCCTGACTGACCCAACGACACCTTGGCAAGAGATAGTTCGAGACCAGACTTGGGCCCGTCATAGTGATACAGGCAGGAACCGACGGAATTTGACTTGGTTATCGCACATCAGTAAACGTAACCCTACACACCTCGAAAAGAGAGAGCTCGCGTCAAAGACTGGCGTCGTCGGATTGGTACACACACCGGCGGAACTTGACTTGTTGAATGCACCCCTTTATGTCCAACGTACCTCACAAGTAAGAGCTAGAGTCAAAACTAAAGCTCTGAGACTTGACCGGTCGCAATGGTATAGGCACCAGTGATGACTACATCTCTATGACTTGGTTCGTTTTATGTGCTAAAACCTCAGTTCGTACCTTGGTCAGGGAGAGCTCGAGGAACTTGGACCCGTCGTAGTGGTACAAGAACCCAAGGAGCTTGATTTGGTGAATGTATCTCTAGTGTGTCGGTGACTACAGCTACAACCCAACGTACCTCCGTCAGGGAGACCTCAAGAGGCGGAACTATGGCCTGTCGTAGTGGTACAGGAACCGACGGAGCTGATCTTGGTAATCCACGTCAGAATAAATTATGCACTACACCCTTTTTCATTCTTCCATAAAAAGGGATATGATTTATGACCATTTTGAAGCAGCGACCATATGATCCAACGGCGGAACTTGGGCCCGTCGTAGTGGTATAAGAACGGAGGAACTTTTGTATCGTCCAGAATATATTAAAGAATCGCATTGGGAAACATACTTACAACCCAGCGTACCTCGGTCAGGGAGAGCTCGAGGCGGAACTTGGGCCCGTCGTAGTGGTACAGAAACCGGCGGAACTTGGTCTCGTCCAACGGTGACCGTTGCTCCCGCAGGCGAACCCTAACCTGCATGTCGCACAAAACACGAGCGACGGAATACCAAGAAAACGTCCGCTTGGCAATGACCCATGGGGAAGAAAACGATAACACAGTTTCAGAAACAACAATACGCAAATGCACGCAAAAATGCCTCATAGAAAACAAAAACAAGAAACGAAGAACAAAAAGCGGAGAGGAGGGATGGGAGGGGAGAAGCGAAGGGGAAGGGGAAGGTTGGGTGGGGGGGGGGGAGGAGGAGGGGCGGGTAGGAAGGGGGCGGCGGAGGAGGGGAAGGAATCTAACAGCCTGGAAGACAGGGGGCAGACTTACTTGTGATGGGAATTTCGATAACGAGGGGTCGAGGTTCAGGCCACCTTCGCTTGATGCCTATAATAGTATGGGTGACAGAAAGGCAGGGAGAAGAAGGAGCAATGCGAAAGGTAAGCAGAAATCAGACGCGAGGGGACGGAGAGGCGGAGAGGGAGGCAAACGATCGCTCGAATATCAGATGGAATCCGATGCTACGACGGTTCTCATACGCGCTAAATATAAGCCATGCTGCTCTACTCCTTAGCGGTATCCTGTGCAGAGAATAGATACAGCGAAACATTGAAAGTATGCACTTCCATTGATCAAATGCAGCGTGTTCCAGTTCTCGACAACCCTCTCGTTACAAAGAGGATCTTGATAGCACACCTCGAAGACGCCGTGTAAATGGTGCGTGGTGTAGTTGTAAAGAAACAGCGGCATTCCCGGTTGAATCCCCCGAACCGATTCGTGATACTTCTGCGGTAAGCCTGAAAGCAAGACACATGGAAGATCGAAGAACGGCGCGCGAGAATGAAACATGTTTCGAAGAGCAGCGTGTCACGAGACTGCATCTGTGTCGCCTTCGAAGGGATCGAACGAGCACCTTTAGCGAACGTCAACATGGAAACGGCATATATAATTTGTCAGTCACTGGGTTACTGAATAAGAGCCCATCGACAGGCTGAAGAAGACACGGAAAACAAGTCCTAAGAATGAAACTTCCACACAGGTGAGAAAAAAAGGACCAAGGATGCCCGTTTAGTTCAAGAGGGTCGTTGAAACTGCGATGACGTGAGTACTGCGTAGCTTCTGAGCGTGCTCAGGAATAAACTTGTCGAAGCTGAGAAAAAAACGAGCAGCACGAACGCGTTCGACGCAAACCAATACTGAAGGAGGACATCCGATGTGCGACAGCGATCAAGGAGTAAACGAAAAGTCATTCTTCTGTCAGGTGAGCTTTCGGCTGTGAACGATTTGCCTAACGCCGATCTACGGCTCGATCCGCGTATCGGGTATCGATCACCGAGAACGTGAACCTGTCGATCACCACATCACGGCCTCCATCGCTTCGTTGGAGCACACGAATACGTAACCGCCAGCTGCGTTGAAGCCAACTCAAATGCATCACCAAGGAGAACGGGTACCCGTCGATCTGCAAGAAACGGCTCACCGAAAAGCTCGCGTTTTATGTCATCCTCCATGGTTTCATTGTTGCACACAAATATATAGCCAGCAATCGGCTCCTCCAACGGAGGAGCGTCCGTCGACGGAATGGCAGACTTCCGATCGTGAAACCCTTCCTGCTGCCGGTACGTCTTTAAGTTGGCCATTTCGAATGGCCTGGCGGAGGGCCTGGACGGCCCAGCGCCTTATCCTACGACTGCTCCACTAACTGACACCTAAACTGGGATACAAATGGCGCTTCCGTTCGGGGAGACTTGATCTGATCGTCCAACTAAACCCTGAGAATGGAGGATGCCAAGAAAAGGGTTCCGACGTAGCCGACAGATGAATGAGAGATCGGGACGCCGATGACAGTCTTGTGGGAGTAAAGACCGGGAAAGCGAGTTAGTCCTGCCTTGAAACACACTTCAGGACAGAACCTGCTCCGAATGACCAGCATCAGGAAACTGTTGGTGTCTAGAGGAGCAGAACGAAAATCCGCGAAGCAGGAAGAGGAGCTCTGGGGGGTTTGGGTTGGGGAGAACGAGGACTGCGTGGTTTGAATGATTTGAGCTGAGGGTGACGTCTGAACCGCTCATTACCCTCTCATAGACCTCCGAAACGCTTTGGAATGCTAGTAACCATTTTGCATCGCATGATTATATCTTTCCACAACCTTCTTGGTAAGGGATGGATGGAGAGGAGGGGAGGAGGCATGCGGGAGGGTGATGGGATGGCAGCGAGGCGCAGTGTGCGAAGCGAAGCAGCTGAACGACATAGACGATATAATATGCGACGTCCTTGTGATGTCTGCCTTGCGTGTCTGTCGTAAGGCGACCATATCTTCAGCGACCAGCCACAAACTACTCCGGCGATGATGGTTGCGACTGGCGGTTCGTGAGATTCAGGGTGCTCTGCTGGAGCTGGTGGCGATGGAGAGCAGTCAGTCGCACACGCCTCGCCTGGTCTGGCGACTGCTCGCGAAATCCGAGATGATGTACTTGAGTGACCAGGTGGATCTCTGGAAGTTTGAACACCAATCATGTGCGAGATGGGACCACGCATTCAGAAAGCTGCGGATAGGGCCGTGGATTCTTCTGGCTCTTGTGCACCATGGCAGCCAGCCATCTGTGCCCCCGCACGCAACTCCAGCAGCCGAGGAACAAATTCTCGGAACAAATCGCCATAAGTTCTGCGGCGCGCTTTGTCCGATATGAAGTGATAACTTACACGAAACACTCAGTAGTGCAATGTGGCTAAGAAAACCAAATTACCAAAAGAAATGACGAGCTGGGATGAAACACGGGTCATAGTGGGATGAGCTGGGATGTCAACTTACCACATATGCTTCTGTTTCAAGTCATGGATTCGAGGATAAGGGGGCGTTAGGGGAGGACGAGAGGTAGGGAACAGGAAAGATACTAGTGGTGGAACAAGGAAAGGCTTATAAGGACAGAAGAGTGAAAGAGAAGGGAAAAAAGGTGGAAAGAGGAAAAGAAGATAAGGTAGGAAGAAACTAAAGAAAGCACCTAGGGACCAAGCACAACAGCAATTCACGCCAGCAACCCACACATGCATGTGTGCCTCTTTTACGGCCAATACGATCTCTAGGCCCGGAAGAAAACTGCATATTTTTAACGTCATATATATGACACTTTATTAATAGCATATTGATAATAACAATACATAATAAACACCTCACGTTGGGTGTACAACGATGGGTTTTTCTAACGTCGGCGCTTTATGATAACAGGGGTCTCCTAAGATCACCCTCAGGCAATATGTTAATCGTTACGGGGGGTTTGGTGCACGAGGCAGCACAACAGGGCGCAGATTTCATGCAACGGATGGCGAAGTAAACAGGCAGCGCCGTGAAAACAAAGGCAAGTGAGAGGAGCGACGGGACGAGCTGCGTGACGAGAGATGAGATGACAAGGTACCTGTGGGGGAGTCGAGAAGGGTAAGAGGGGTGGGGGTGGGGTGGAGTGAGTGGGGGGCTAAATGGGCAGCGCTGTGAAAACAAAGGCGAGTGAGAGGAGATGACAGAGTACCTGCGGGGGAGGTGAGAAGGGTAAGAGCCAAGGACGAGAGGGATGTGCAGAGGTGAAGGGAGCGAGGGGTTAAAGAAGCAGCTGGGGTCATTAGCTGCAGTCAAGAGATGATGATATGTCAAGGTGCTTATTGAGGGTTTGGCAGCATAAGAACCATGCTTGGAAGGGGGGAGAGCAGAAGAATGGCAAGCATGGGGGGCTGTGAGGGCCCGGGGAAGAATTGATAGGCAGGTGTGGGCGCTTCTTACGTGGATACAACGACCACAATGATGCCCGGAAGGGGGTAGAGGCTGGCCTTGTACGGTCGGGGCAGGTCGGGCAGGTCCCAGCGCAGCTTGATTAGCGATGCCCCCACGAGACCATAGAACATCCATGCAGCGATGCCGAAATAGTCGATCAACTGAGAGGGTGAGAGGATTTGGAGAGCAAAGAAAAGGATTCATGTTTTGAGACGTCATAAGAATCAGAAAGCAAGGGAAGTTTGCCTCCAGCAGGGGTCAATGAGCGATACGCCCATGAGACCGTTGAACATCCACGCTGCGATGGCGAAATAGTCAATCAGCTGGGATAAGAGAATTTGGAGAGCACGTCAAGGGATTTGGAAAGTAGGGCAAGGGGATGGGTGAGCAGAGCAATACATTAATGTGGGTTGAGAGAAAAAAATGGGGAAAAGGAGCAAGGGGAGTGAAAGCGGGACTGTAAGAGAACAGGTTTACGGAAGAACAGTGTGGCATCACTGAGAACGTAGAAGAACCATGGTGGAAAACTGAACCAATTAATAATGAGAGGGCAGGGACAGGTAATGAGAGGGCAGGGACAGGTAATGAGAGGGCAGGGACAGGTAATGAGAGGGCAGGGACAGGTAAGAAAAAGAAGAAAAGTGAAGGTTTGAGAACAAGGACAAGGACAATAAGGCTCGAAGGCCATAAAACATAGTGCGCATGTATATCTCCTACAATGCGTAATTCTTGCCGTTCCTACTGTACACTTATGTACTTTCCAAGTGTACCTTCTCAAGGTGGTTTGCTGCCACAAAGACAACAACGGCAATCCATCCGCCCTGCGGTTTTAAATCACAGGAAACGAGAGGGAAGAAAGTGAAACTTGAAAGGTTACAAAAACAGCATAACTGTTCAAAGATCAATTCCAATGCATGATGAGTAGAAATGTAAGCTACTAAATAGAGGGCAAAGGTTGATGTTTGCTGCGGGACGAGAGAGATGGCGAATGCAGCCCTTGGAAAAGAAATTGCACACCACCATTGCAAGAAAAATACCTTGGGGTGATGGCACAATGACAAAGACAAGGATTGAGACGGTATGAAAGTTCAGGAAAGAGAAAGGGAAGCATAGGGCTGTTTACAGTGGCAAGGAGTGAAGCGTAAGGTGCTCCTCCTGAAGTGACGTTACTCAGGAATGGAATGACGGACTGAAGCGATGTTGTGTAGAGATGCACACAGTGCAGCAGCGTGGAAGCAGAGCAGAGGGCTTACAGTGGCCAGGAGTGAAGCGTACGGCGCTCCTCCGGTAGTGACCGCACTGAGGAACGAGAAGAGCTGTCCGTCCCTTGCCTTGGCGTACTGCAAGGGGGGGTGAGGGTAAGGGGAGGAAAGCATTAGGGGAAGAAGCAGGCGAAAGGTGCTTGTTCACACTGTTGCCAGAAGTGACTCATAGGGCGCTCGGTTAGACAGAATGCCGCTGAAAAACGAGTAAGGAAGCAGTACGACGAGTTGAACCATCCGTTGCCTTGGTGTACTGTAATGGAGGTGCGGTGTGGGACAGAGGGTGTGTGTGAGTAAGGAAACAATACAACGAGTTTTGAGTCGAATTGAAAGGAGGCATAGGCAGCGCCGAGCACGTTTAGAGCCACCAGAAAGGCAATGGCTAGATCAGCTGTTTACACATGAGACACGACTTACGAAGAAGCGAGCGTGGCAGAGCAGAGTGGCGTTGGCGGCGCCCAGCACGTTGAGAGCCACAAGAACACTGCGTTTGGGTCAGCCCTTTACAGTCACACGGTACTTACGAAGAAGCGAGCGTGGCAGAGCAGAGCGGCGTTGGCAGCGCCCAGCACGTTGAGAGCCACGAGAAAAGCGATTGAGGAACATATGAGGTTTTTTTTTATTCACTATTCGCATCACATGCGACTTACAAAGAAGCGAGCATGGCACAGTAGCGTGGCGTTGGCAGCGCCGAGCACGTTTAGGGCCACGAGAAAGGCAATGAATCGGCCCGAGGGAGGTCCAAAAACAGCCTCTACTGCTTCCACTGCCACCACTTCCGACTTGCCTACAGCTGAGAATTAAGCAGTGGAAGAGAAAGGGTGAGAGGAGGAGGTAGGGATGGGGAAGAAGGCAATGAATCGGCCTAAAAGAGGGCCGAACCGAACACCACCTCAATACTTCCACTCCCACCACTTCCGATTTGCCTATGGCTGACTGAGGTAGGAAGGGGTAGGCGAGATAGGGGGGGAAATGCATGGTGTTATAAAGTGGTGTCTTACCCTGTGCCTTACACTGTGAAGAGTTGAAGGCACAGTGTGGGGCAGAGTGTGGGGCAGAGTGTGGGGCACAGAGGAAGAACAGAAATGAGTCGTTTGAAGCGTGTATAGTAGTAGGAAGTAGGCTGATGGTGTGTCTTGAGTCGACTCAAAACACACCTGAGATGTTGTGTTGCGCTAGCAACATTGGTGAAATTGGTGATGCTGGTGAAATTATGGTGGTGTTTTGAGTCGACTCAGAGCATTGGTGCGATTGGTGATGCTGGTGATATTATGCTGGTGTTTTGAGTCAACTCAGAGCATTGGTGGGATTGGTGATGCTGGTGATATTATGGTAGCGTACCTGCCAGGGGAAGAATGCAGAAGTACGTGGAGTTGACTGCGAGCTGATGATGATGCGGTTCAATGCGGTCGGTTGCGGTGCCATGTGGTTTTGTGCAGTTTCACGCAGGGGCACACGGGGATACATGGAGAAAACGCAAGGTGCATGCAAAAAGGAAGGGCAGCAATTGTCAGTCGGGTACATTTGTCCTCACGAAAAGGTGCAAAGAAGGTAGCAAAGGTCATGAATATCTGACACTATCAGGGCACTCACGCAGATTCCAACAGCAGTGAGCATCCCAAAGGAGAGCGAGCGGGGCAGGTCCCTTTTCGGATTCTTGAGCTCTTCTGATAGATAGCCCAGGCAGTTCCTGATGATAGGGGTCAAAGAGAATTGCAGGAGAAGAGAACGAGGAGTGGTTGGATGCGGTTGAGATGGGCAAAATGAGGGGTTCGCCTTTGGGTTCTTGAGCTCTTCTGAAGATAGCCAAGGCAGTTCCTGATGACAGGGGTAAAAGGGCAGATTGCAGGACGAGAAAACGAGGAGAGGTTGGATGCGGTTGAGATGGACGAATTGAGAGGTTCGTCTTTTGGTTCTTGAGCTCCTCTGATAGATAGCCAAGGCAGTTCCTGATGACAGGGGTAGCCACGTGAAATGAGGTTGTTTTTGAGACGTCTCAAAAACAACCTCATTTCACGTGGCTCCTCTGATAGATAGCCCAGGAAGTTCCTGATGACAAGGGTCAAAGGGCAGATTACAGAATCATAACATAACATGACGATTGCATGGAGATTGGGTGTGGTTGAGATGGATGAAATGGGAGGTTCCTCTCTAAATTTCTGAACGGAGGGGGAGAAAAATTATCTCTAGTAAAAGCACTTCTAATTCACTCCCTCGCCTTTTACTTGTTATCAGCAGACTCTCCTTATCCTCGTTATAAGAGCACTCACCAGCTGTCAAAGGCCCACACAGCAGCCACCAGGCCGGCGCCGGTTGTAGCTGGAGATGGGTGGCAGCGGCTGGGAGAAGTTTGTAGCCGCTACAGCCGTGCTAGGTGGCATGCAGGCAGGCAACCCACTCTAACTCCTTGTCCTCGTTTTAAGATCACACACTCACCAGCCGTCAAAGGCCCACACAGCAGCCACCAAACCGGCCCCAGCCCGGCTCCAGTTGTAGCTGGAGATGGGTGGGAGCGTCTGGGAGAAGTTTGTAGCGGCTACAGCACTAGCTCACTGGCAAACTGGTACTCGTTTTAAACAGACTCACCAGCCGTCAAAAGCCCACACCGCTGCTACCAAGCCAGCCCCAGCTCGGCTCCAGTTGTAGCCGGAGAGTGGTGGAAGCGGCTGGGAGAAACGACGTTTGTAGCGGCTACACATGCACTGTATCTGGCAGGCAGGCAACAACCCAATCCCCTTATTCTCGTTATCAGACCACTCACCAGCCATCGAAGGCCCAGACGGCAGCCAACAGGCCAGCCCCGGCCCGGCTCCAGTTGTAGCTGGAGAGGGGTGGGAGTGGCTGGGAGAAGTGATGTCTGTAGCGGCTACAGATGCACTGTGTCTGAAGCCCACTCACTCACCAGCCATCAAAGGCCCAGACGGCAGCCACCAGGCCAGCCCCGGCCCGGCTCCAGTTGTAGCCGGAGAGGAGTGGGAGCGGCTGGGAGAAGAGTAGCTTGTAGCGGCACTAGCACACTTGCAAGATGGTACTCGTTATAAGCAGACTCACCAGCCGTCAAAAGCCCAGACGGCAGCCACCAGGCCGGCCCCGGCCCGGCTCCAGTTGTAGCCAGAGAGGGGTGGGAGCGGCTGGGAGAAGTTTGTAGCGGCTACAGCCGTGCCGTGGAGGGAGATGAAGATGGGCGCGCAGGCTACAACTGCTGCTATTAGCAGTGCCTTGGTGACTGTTAGGATATTCTGCACCAACGCTCCAGCCTTCACTCCTGCAGTGATGGGTGAGAGAGAAGGAAAGAGTGGTGGAGGGAGATGAAGATGGGCGCGCAGGCCACCACCGCTGCTATTAGCAGTGCCTTGGTGACTGTTAGGATATTTTGCACCAATGCACCTGCTTTCACTCCTGCAGTGGGTGAGGGTGAAGGAAGGAAAGAGTGGTGGAGGGATATGAAGATGGGCGCGCAGGCTACAACTGCTGCTATTAGGAGCGCCTTGGTGACTGTGAGAATGTTCTGCACCAATGCACCTGCTTTCACTCCTGCAATGCAAGAGGAGGAAGACATGGGAAATAAAGAGGAGGAGGATGGAAGGGAACAAGTTTGTAGCGGCTACAGCGGTGCCGTGGAGGGCGATGAAGATGGGCGCGCAGGCTACTACTGCTGCGATTAGCAGTGCCTTGGTGACTGTCAGTAACGCACCTGCCTTCACTCCTGCGAGTTTGGGTTGGGGTGTGAGGGGAGGTGGAAAGAGAAGTGGAGCGTGATGGAGCAACCAATGATGGCAAAGCGGATGGAAAGGGAGAGGAGGATGGCATATCGGAACGGAGCAAGGAAGTGCATGAGAGCAGGCACAAGTGGTGAGTGCTCAAGCGCACATACTAGTGCGGTTGAAAGTGGTGAGGAGGAGGAGCGTGAAGGAGCAGCCAATGATCCGGAGAGAGAGAGAGGGAGAGGACTACCAGCACACGTGGCGAGGGAACTGCTGAGAGCAGGCACAAGTGGCATGTGCACTAGAGCACATACCGGCGCAGTTAATGGCGGTGAGGAGGAGAGTGAAGGAGCAGCCTATGATTCGGAGAGAGGGAGAGGACTACCAGCACACGTGGCATGTCCAAAGAGAACATACCGGCACAGTTGATGGCCGTGAGAAGGAGCGTGAAGGAGCAACCAATGATTCGCACGCCCAGCTCCATCTGCTCCTCGCTCGCACCCTCCATGCCTGGGAGCTGGGGAAGGAGAGGGGAGTAGATGCAATGAGATGCAATGCGATGGAATGCGATGCAGTGGAGTGCAATGCAATGCCTCACAGCTCTCCCAGCTCCATCTGCTCCTCGCTCGCACCCTCCATGCCTGCCCGAGAGCTGGGGAAGGAGAGGGGAGTTAATGCAATGAGATGCAATGCGATCCAACGCGATGCAGTGGAGTGCAATGCAATGCCTCACAGCTCTCCCAGCTCCATCTGCTGCTTGCTCGCACCCTGCACGCCCGGGAGCTGAGGGGGGGGGAGGGAGGGAGAGAGGGGGAACCAAGGCAAAGAGTGAAGTCAAGTCAAGGGTGTCATGTAGAGGTGGCTAACACGCCCAGCTTCATCTGCTCTTCGCTTGCACCCTGCATGCCTGGGCTGGGAGCTGGAGGGTGGGGATAGGGGGAAGAGCAGGGTACAGGGGCAAAGAGTTAAGGGCGATGTAGAGGTGGCTACGAGATCGCCCAGCTCCATCTGCTCCTCGCTCGCACCCTCCATGCCTGGAAGCTGGGTAGGAGAGGGGAGTTAATGCAATGAGATGCAATGCGATGCAGTGGAGTGCAATGCAGTGCCTCACAGCTCTCCCAGCTCCATCTGCTCCTCGCTCGCACCCTCCATGCCCGGGAGCTGGGGAGGTATGGGGAGCGAGAGAGGGGGTAGTAAGGCAAAGAGTCAAGTGAAGGGTGTCATGTAGAGGCGGCTAACAGCACTCCCATCTACATCTGATCCTCGCTCGCACCCTGCATGCCTGGGAGCTGTGGGAAGGAGAGGGGATTTAATGCAATACGATCCAGTGCGATTTAGTGCAGTGAAAAGCGATCTAAAAGCCTCACACCACGCCCAGCTCCATCGGCTCCTCGCTTGCACCCTCCATGCCCGGGAGCTGGGGGGAGGAGGAAGGGAAAGTGAGGGGAGTGAATGCAGAGAGATGCAATGCAATATGCGGCAAGTGCAATGCGATGCCGCACAGCACGCCCAGCTCCATGATGTTGCAGGGTGTCTTTGCAAATTATCAAAAACACCCTGCAGCGATAGGGGAGTGAGTTCAGTGAGATGCAATGCGATATGTGATAAGTGCAATGCAATGCTGCACAGCACGCCTTTTGAGGCACCTCAAAAGCACGCCCAGCTCCACCTGCTGCTCGTCGTTAGCTCACTCGCGCCCTGCACGTCCGGGAGCTGAGGGGTGAGTGGGGAAGGGTAGGGGAGTAAATGCAATGCTATGCGATGCAATTCAGTGCGATTTTCACGCAGTGGAAAGCAGTGCCACACAGCACGCCCAGCTCCACCTGCTGCTCCTCGCTCGCTGTTGTGTTGTATGTCCGGGAGCTGAGGGGTGAGTGAGAGGAGGAGGAGAGCGTAGAGTAGGAGGACAGCAAAAGCGTTGAAGTGATAGATGGATGTGAATAAAAAGGATGTGAGTGCAAGGAAAGCTCACCAGAGCGATGGCGTATCGGGCGAATGTGACTATAAGGATGGCGATGCCGCCGCCAGTAGAGACGAAGAAGAACATCCACATGAAGACAAACGAGAGCAGATCTCCGAACGCCAGCTGGATGTACTCGCCGTCGCCGCCCGCGTGCGGTATGGAGCTGCCCAGCTCAGCGTACACCTGCCACGTCAGCAGGACACGTCAGCAAGACATGTCAGAGAAGTGTCACCCTCAGCGATGACGCCAGCGCAGAGCTACTTGAAAGCGTGCGTTACAGAACGGGTAACCACACACGGCATCTCCATAGGAATCCCAGAAGTGGTTACAGCACAGCACAGCACAGCACAGCACCGCACAGCACATGATGGCACGCCCGCACCTCGCAGCAGGAGTAGGCAACGATACCGGCACAGAGCCACACAATGAGCGCGGAGATGCGCGCGCCTCCCGAGTCGACGAGCAGTAGCTGCCAGTATGGCGCTGGCAGATAGCACGTAACGTAACAGCGTTCTGGCAGAGCCACACGATGAGCGCGGAAACCGGTGCACCCCTGAGTCTACAGCGCTGAAAGCAGGTATAGAACAGGCATAGCAATAACAGACCTCGCAGCACGAGTAGGCGACGATCCCCGCGCAGAGCCACACGATGAGCGCGGAGATCGGCGCGCCTCCCGAGTCGACGAGCACGACGCCTGGCGTGGCGAATATGCCGCTGCCCACCACCACTCCCAGCACCATGCTGAAAGAAAGGAGGGAGGGAATGGGGAGCGGAGTTTGAGGGGGGCCGGGGGGAAGGACGAAACGAGCAGGAAGGGAAAATCGGCGCGCCTCCGGAGTCGAGGAGCAGGACGCCCGGCGTGGCGAATATGCCGCGGCTGCCCACCACCACTCCCAGCACCATGCTGCAGCGTCAATGGGAAAGAGAGAGGGGATGGGAAGGAAAGGGATGGGAGGAGTGAGGGAACATGATATATGTAGAGTGCATGAGCAGGACGCCTGGCATGGCGAATATGCCGCTGCCCACCACCACTCCCAGCACCATGCTGAAGCGTCAATGGGAAAGAGATAGAGAGGGGCGAAGGAGAGAGGAGGGAAGGGGAGAGTGGGGGGGTGGGAGGAATGAGGGGACATCCCTCCGGAGTCGAGGAGCAGGACGCCCGGCGTGGCGTATATGCTGCTGCCCACTACCACTTCCAGCACCATGCTGGTCGGGAGGCAGAAAACAGGGGGGAAGAGAGGCATGGCCCATGCCGGGGTGTTGGAGTGGAAATTCCGTAAACGTCGCAGCAATCACAGTGCCCGCACCACACGCCGTCGACGACAGCCTGTCTTCAGTTTCGCGTCGAACACGTCAGTCATGGCCTCAGGCGAGCGCGAAACTGTTACGTAGTCCGTAAGTTACACAAGCACTCGTCGAAAACTCTTCGCCACAATGAATCGTCATAGACTCATAGTCACGACGGGCTTCACAGGAGTCACAGTGCCCGCACCACACGCCGTCGTTGACGATTTGCCTCAATCATGCTCGCGTTTCCCTCGCGTGCGAAATGAAAGCCCAGCAGCGCAGGAGGGGAGAAGAGCGGCGCAACTTTTTGGAATGAAAGCACGACGAGCACAACGCCACGCACCCGACGCCATCGACGACATTCATTGGCGACATTCGCTCATCTTCTATCCTCGCCTTTTCCCGCCGGCGTGTTGAAACGAGAGACCAACAGGGCATGAGGGGAGGGGAGCGAAGAGAAGCCGTATCCTTGTTAACAGTCACGATAAGCATTCTGACACGCACCAGACGCCGTCGACGACATTCAGCGATCGCTTCAATCCTCGCTTTTCACCGCCGGCATTTTTGAAACGAGAGACCAACACGGCGGCATGAGGGGAGGGCAACGAAGAGAAGCTGTCTCATTGTAGTAGGCACGATAAGCATATTGACACGCACCATACACCATCGACGACATTCAGCGATCGCTTCAATCCTCGCTTTTCACCGTGCGCGCCGCCGCCGCCTGCTGCTGCGGCCGCAGGCTCTGCGGCGGAGCACTCTTTGCCGCCAGCGCGAGAGGCGGTGGGGAGCAGCGGCGCGGCGAGGGCGGCCGCAGCGTCGTCGCACGCCGCGGGAGGGATCAACACGCAGGAATGGCTCATGGCGGGAATTATTTTTTTAATCACTCAAAAATGGCGTGGGATTCTGAGTCGACTTAAAAATTTGAGTGGTGGGGTAATATATTTTAGCGTTTTGTGTGCTTTTACGCGAAGTATGGCCGCAAGCTCTCGCGACGAGAGGTGGGTGGGCAAATGACAGGAAGATATGCTTCAATGCTATTCGCTATGGTGCTTCGCAGTGCGTGGATTGACGGGGAATCGAGGTTTTTAGACGAGGAAGCCAGATGCGTGGTGATGAAAGAAGTGTGACGATGTTTCAGGTTGGTTTGTCGAGGCAAACGCCACTAAACTCTCTAATACAGCAAGCTGGGTCAGGAATAACAGCTAAAAACGTAGAGCAGGAACTAGCAAATTAGCTACAATGACGAGAATCCTAGAAGGAGCACGTGTGAAAAGGTTTGGTGGAACTGTTGTGAGGTTGGGTGTATGTATGGAGGGAGAGAAAGAGAGGAGGCGGGTGGTAGGGTTCTGGTTTGGTGGAAGTAGTAAGGGAATTCATTTTTCGAGCCGCTTCCAGCCGCACCTGTCATCAGCGAAGTTCAACGGGCTTATTCGCGAAACAGTGGTGTTGGGGTTTGTGCTGATGGGTGTTAGCACCCGCTTATATAAGTGCGTTCAGTGGAAGAGTGACGCAATTTCGATCAAAACCTGTCAGGTATGGTCCGCTTTTAGGACACATATGCCACGAAGGGAGCGCCGGTACTTTTATTAGGTAAAAGAGCGAGAATAATTCAGGTGGTTATACTGGCGACATCTCGTCAACCGAACCTCCAGGTGTGGTGGGGTGATCTGCCCTGCCCTTGCCCTGCTGCGAAATGTGGCGGAATTCTGGTGAGCTCATTGGCTCGCTACTTCGTGACTTGTGTTGCTGCAGGTCAACCCTGTCGTCAAGTCAGTTGGAGGCGCCTACTGGATAATTCCACGAACCGCAGCCCGCTGCCAAATGGGACAACCAATAAGGATGGATGATCTCCCAGCGCGTTGCCCAATCCCGTGGCGATTTGGGCTGACCTGGTTCCAGCGCTTCATCTGCCTTCCAGCGTGGAAAAGTTGGGATAGCAAGATCTTTGGAGCTAGTTCAAAGAAACACTCGAAACAAAAGAAACACTGGCAGCTTCACAAATGTTTCTATGGTATTGATCGGATACCTAATGCCGCTCTAATGAAGGGAAGCCCGAGTGGATAAGGTGGCTCGAATCGCAACCTCTAAACCCGGCAGACATTGCGATGGTGTGATTGGTCAATCTATCTCGAACCTCGAGGTTCGTGGTCTGGTACCTCCCACTAGGTTTGGTTTCCTTGTTTGGGAATGTCAGCGAATCTTCGCAAAAATCAGTTACCTGACACTCTGTCCTTCTCGTCATATCTCGCGTACAATTTTATCCACCTGTTTGCCTCGCCTGTAGTCGCACCCTCTCGCCGTCGCAAGGATGAGATTCCCAAACCTTCAACCAGACAGACTTCTTCCCCCCTCGCCTCTTTTTACAGCTTCTGTTCAGAGCAGACCAGTTAGCTGGGAGAGAATAAAAAGCTATCCTAGGTTGCTGGGTTTTCTGCAAATGCGAAATAAACTTGGTTGGCTAGCATCTATTATCTAGCATATGAGCCGCGGTTACTGGAGAGCGTGCATCGTGCTATGGCTTCGGACCAAAATCCCCGTGGAGAACCCTCAGAGCATTCAGACGTACGCATGCCGCTTATTCAGCCGGCCGTAAATTCCTCCACGAATGGCACGTCGACCAAAAGCGTTGCGCCAAACTTTGCTTGTTTGCCGCGTCTTGCACCACCGAGTGACGTAGGTGTTTTTAATTGCGATGAAGGGGGCGCGGGAAAGAAAGACGGCGTTTTTCCTTCGGATGAGGGCGAGATCGTCGGCCCGCATTCGCCGCGCGCGGGGCTTAGACGGTCGCTTACCGTCGTCGACGGAGTCAGGTGCGAATTAAGCAAACAGATTTTTTACTCGACCTAAATGCTCGGCCCGCACTTGCCACGCGCGGGGTTAAAACGATCGCTTTCCGTGGTGGACGAATTAAGTGCGTCTTTTGTGTCATTTTTGAGAAAATTCAAAAAGTGATTTGCTTACGTGATGCTCTGAAATTCGACTATCTGACGTGTGATGACCTGACGTGTGGCGCGTCGTTCTACGGAATGTCGGCCGCAGCTTGATCCTCTGACAGACATTTCTCACAACAGGTGTGTCGCTTTCAAGAACTTTCAGAATCAATCCTCTATTTAACACGTCTCACAACAGGCCTCTATTTACACGCGCGCGCAAGCCTCCTACTCCCTCCCCCTCTCCTCCTACCCCTCTCTTACCCTTTTTCTCGTGGCCCCCTCGTACCCCTCTCCTACTACAATTCCTCTTTCCGTACCATCATGATGCCGGGAGTGGGTGGTTTTTGAGTCGACTCAACAATTGATTGGTGTCGTATTTAACTCGTCAGGAGTCGTCCTGCTGGGCTTCTGAGGCGCCTCAAATGTCGGGAGTAGTGTCATGTCACATTCGCCACGTCAGGAGCCATCCTGCTGGTGCTGGGTGGTGTGCTGTGCAAACACCCCTGCTTCTCTGCCTCTCTCATAGGTGGTGTGTCCCGTGTGTTTCTTTTGAGGCGCCTCAAAAGTAGATCTCGAGGCTTGGGTGTTCTTTCAGACCCCTTGCTTGGGTGGTGTGCTGTGCAAACACTACTGCTTCTCTGCCTCTCTCATAGCTGGTCCGTCCCGTGTGTTTCTCCTCCCCTCTGCTTCTACCGCTCCACCTATCTTCTTACCAGCATGGTGCTGGGAGTGGTTGTGGGGCGGCGCCGCAGCGGCATATTCGCCACGCCCTGAGAGGTGCTGCTGCCGAAATGTGCTGCTTTGCCAACACCCATGTTTCTCTCCCTCCTCTTCTTCCTCCCCTGTTCTTAACCTCCCAAGCAGCATGGTGCTGGGAGTGGTGGTGGGCAGCGGCATATTTTCCACGCCAGGAATCGTCCTGCTGGGTGGCATGCAAACGCCCAAGCTTCTACCCCTCTCTCTGAGTCGCATGTGCTTCTCTCCACCTGTGTCCCAACCAGCATGGTGCTGGGAGTGGTGGTGGGCAGCGGTTTATTCGCCACGCCAGGCGTCGTCCTGCTGGACGCACGTGGATTGTAGCCGACGTCCTCTCACACCCCCGATCCCCTCATTCCGGGAGTTTTTGTTAATTTTCAAAACTCCCTGCAACGTCAGGGATGTCCTCTCACACCCCCCCATCCCCTCATTCCGCCCATCCCCTCTCCTCCCCTCTATCTTTTCCCCTCATGCTGCAGCATGGTGCTGGGAGTGGTGGTGGGCAGCGGTATATTTGCCACGCCAGGCGTCGTTTTGCTGGACGCGAGCGGGTCGCCGTTGCTGGCGCTGCTGCTGTGGCTGCTGGCGGGGGTGGTGGGGTACGCATGCTGTGAGGTGAGACGGGTGGGAGGAGGGGAGAAGAGTCGACTCAGTAGTCGCAGTCGTTCTGCTGGACGCGAGTGGGTCGCCGCTGCTGGCGCTGCTGCTGTGGCTGCTGGCAGGGATAGTTGGATATGCGTGCTGCGAGGTGAGGAGAGAAGCATAAGGGTGAGAGGGTGGAGGGCGGACGGGAGTTGGTAAAGGTGGCGCTGCTGGTGTGGCTGCTGGCTAGGGTGGTGGGGTACGCGTGCTGCGAGGTGAGAAGAAAAGGGGGAAACGGGATGTTGTGAGGGGAGAAGGGGACGAGGGTCCACAGTCCGCTGCTGCTGGCGCTGCTATTGTGGCTGCTGGCGGGAGTGGTGGGGTATGCGTGCTGTGAGGTGAGAAGAGGAGCAGGAGGGTGAGAGGGTAGAGGGGGGACGGGAGTTGGTAAAGGTGGCACTGCTGCTCTGGTGGGATATGGAGATGATGGACAAGTGGGGGGAAATGGGAGAAAGGCAATGGGGAAGGCAAGGGGGGAGGCAAGGGGGAAGGCAAGGGGGGAGGCAAGGGGGGAGGCAAAGGGGAAGGCAAGGGGGGAGGCAAGGGGGAAGGCAAGGGGGAAGGCAAGGGGGGAGGCAAGGGGGGAGGCAAGGGGGAAGGCAAGGGGGAAGGCAAGGGGGGAGGCAAGGGGGGAGGCAAGGGGGAAGGCAAGGGGGGGGGGGGGAAGGCAAGGGGGGAGGCAAGGGGGGAGGCAAGGGGGGAGGCAAGGGGGAAGGCAAGGGGGGAGGCAAGGGGGGAGGCAAGGGGGGAGGCAAGGGGGAAGGCAAAGGGGAAGGCAAGGGGGGAGGCAAGGGGGGAGGCAAGGGGGAAGGCAAGGGGGGAGGCAAGGGGGAAGGCAAGGGGGAAGGCAAGGGGGAAGGCAAGGGGGAAGGCAAGGGGGAAGGCAAGGGGGAAGGCAAGGGGGAAGGCAAGGGGGAAGGCAAGGGGGGAGGCAAGGGGGAAGGCAAGGGGGAAGGCAAGGGGCGAGGCGGAGGAAGTCAACGGAGAAGGAATGCTTGCAGGTTTTCGTCCATTCTTTCCACGCTACTCCTAATCCATTCCTCTCCTTACATGCATCCCATCCACCTGTGTATGCGGAGCTGGGGAGTTTTCAGCATTCATGCCATGCCACTCCATTCCATGCCACTCCATTCCATGCCACTCCATTCCATGCCACTCCATCCCATTCCACTCCGTTCCACTCTATTCCTAATCCATTCCTCTCCGTGCATGCAACCCATCCACCCGTCGGTCATCAGGTGTATGCGGAGCTAGGGAGTTCTGAGTGTTCAAGTCGTGCCAGTCAATTCCATTCCACCCCGTTCCAGCTCATTCTACTCCATTCCACTCCTTACATGCAACCCATCCACCCCTACGCCATCAGGTGTATGCAGAGCTGGGGAGTTTCATCCCACATGCAGGCGGTGATGGGGAGTACTTGCAGGTGCGCTAATACGCTCAACCTCACTCACAAGACCACAACCTTATAGAATCACCCGTTTTGTAAACACCAGTGCCCTATCACGTGAATTTTCCGTTCAGTCCACCTATGTATGTGAACGTGTAAGAATGATAGCTGTTCTAGAGGAATAGCATTGTCCCTATTTCTTGATTTTAAGTCAGCTGTGAGGCTTCAAGCGTTTCACGAAGCCTTTTCTTATTCGTTTATGTTTATTTTTTCCTACACCCGATTACTTCACGCCGAATCCGTCTCCGCCAGGTGGCGTTTGGAGAGCTCGCGTCGTTTGTCTTCATGTGGATGTTCTTCTTTGTCTCTACCGGTGGGGCCCTCTCCATCCTGGTCGTCACATTTGCCCGATACGCCGTCGCTCTGGTGAGAGGAGAGGGTTGATTGATGGTGAAGGGAGAGTGGTGGTGGTGGGTTTTAAAGTTTAGTCTTTAGGGTTTGATTTGAATTACACTCATAAAATGCCCACCGTTTTCCTCTTCTTACTCCACTTCAGCTTCCCGGGGCAGCAGCTGGCGGAGAGGAGGAGATGGAAGTGATGGTGATGGTCGTGGGGGGGGGGTGCGTGCTGCTGCTTACTCTTGTCAACTGCTATGGTGAGTGTGAGTGAGCGAGTGAGTGAGTGAGTGAGTGAGTGAGTGAGGCGTCTGTTAGCAGACCTTCCTTTCTTGGCATAACCCCCTCCACAGTACTCCTAATCCCAAAGACTTAAACTAGTACCTTCAACCAAAACCTTTTAAACCTTTAACCCGAAATTAGGAACCCAGTACCCAAAACCTTTAGTATAATCAGCGCTTCCTAGATCTCCTATGCAACCCTTTTCCTATCAAAACGCTCCTCCCTCCAATTGGTTTCCTCCCTCAACCCCCCAGGAGTTGAAGCAGGCACGTGGCTGCAGAATCTCCTCTCGCTCTCCAAGGCTCTCCTCATCGCCATTATTCTTGCAACCACCCCTGCCTTCATGCTCCTCCACGGCCCTGCCACTTCTTCAATTCATCTCTCTCCCCCCCCAACCCCCTGTTCCAGGAGTTGAAGCAGGCACGTGGCTGCAGAACTTGCTCTCTCTTTCAAAGGCTCTCCTCATCGCCATCATTCTCGCAGCCACTCCTGCCTTCATCATCCTCCAAGGCTCCGCCACTGCGGCCGCCAACCTCCTTCAACCGCTGCCGCCGCTTGACTCGCTTGACCTCAGCAGACTTGGCGCTGGGCTGGTTGCAGCTATATGGGCCTTTGACGGATGGTGAGTGTGTGGGTGGGGTGGGTGGGGTGGGGTGGGTGGGGTGGGTGGGGTGGGTGTGGAAGGCAGGCCGCTTGCCTTTCTGCTACCGTTGCACGGCTCTGCCACTGCAGCCGCCAACCTCCTGCAGCCACTCCCTCCACTTGACTCGCTTGTCCTCAGCAGGCTGGGCGCTGGGCTGGTGGCGGCCATGTGGGCCTTCGATGGATGGTGAGTGGGGGAAGGGGACACAAAGGGTAGGCTGCCATCATCCTTGCAGCCGCCTGGCCTTCATGCTCCTCCACGGCCCTGTTCCTGCGGCCGTAAACCTCCTGCAGCCGCTGCCCCCACTTGATTCCCTTCACCTCAGCAGACTTGGCGCTGGGCTGGTGGCAGCTATATGGGCCTTTGACGGATGGTGAGTGGGTGGGAGACTAGTGGGGTAACTTGGTAACCAGATGGCAACCAGGTGGATGGCAACCAGGTGGATGGCAACCAGGTGGATGGTAACCAGGTGGATGGTAACCAGGTGGATGGTAACCAGGTGGATGGTAACCAGGTGGATGGTAACCAGGTGGATGGTAACCAGGTGGATGGTAACCAGAGATTGCAGTCACTTGCCGGCACTTGGATGCAGCAGAATGGGCGCTGGGCTGGTTGCTGCGTTATGGGCCTTTGACGGATGGTGAATGGTACAAGGGCACGCCGGTAGCAAGCTAAGTTGCTTCAAGCCCCATAGTTGCTTCAAGCCCCACTTCCTCCGCTTGACGCGCTTGACCTCAGCAGACTGGGCGCTGGGCTCGTGGCTGCTATATGGGCCTTTGACGGATGGTGAGTGGGTGGGAGGGTAGTGGGGTAAAATGGTGGTAATCAGGTGGTAACCAGGTGGTAACCAGGTGGTAACCAGGTGGTAACCAGAGGTAGCAGTCGCATCTTGGCGCTTGACTCGCTTGACTGCAGCAGACTTGGCGCTAGGCTGGTGGCTTACCCCTTCCTCCCTCGGCCTTGCAGGAACTGCCTGGGATTTCTCTTAGAGGAGCCCATATGAATTCAACGAGGGACGTCTCATTACCTCCACCTCTCCCTCATTTCCCCTTCCGTCCTCATCCAATGCTCTTCATGCAATCTTGCCCCCTCACTCCCTCGGCCTTGCAGGAACTGCCTGGGATTTCTCTTAGAGGAGCTCAAGAACCCAAAGAGGGACCTGCTGCCATTGAGCTCTCTCTCTCTCACCCTGTAGTTCGTATTCTATGTGTGATACGCATGCCCTCGTCGCCTCACTCCCTCGCAGGAACTGCCTGGGCTTTTTATCAGAGGAGCTCAAGAACCCAAAGAGGGACCTGCCTCGCTCTCTATCCATTGGCATGCTCATTGCTGTTGTCATCTGTGTGAGTGGCGGTATGCTTGTATTGACCATGCTTGTATCGAGTATGATTGTATAGTAACTTGCATCTCGCATTGAACTTGATGCGTTTTCCTGGGCATGCTGCTGCTGCTGTCATCTGTGTGAGTAGCAGCCCATGGAGTATGCTTATATTGTGTATACTTTCAACGAGTACGTATGCATTGAGTACACTCCCATGAGAATTCACGTCCCTGAACCCACATCCCTGCTGTTCAATCATTTCGTGTTCTTTCATTTCCCCAAAAACGCCTCCCTCCCGCCCACCTCCCCCACGCCGTGCCGTCTCCAAATCATCGCTCGCCAGCTGTCTGCCAACGTGGCATATCTCTGCATCCTTCCCGCTCAAGGTGAGGGGGTGTGCGTCATGCGGCCTCATTTTCTGCTATTTACACCACCTTTTGAAATATTTATGTGTAGCATTACGTGTGTGGCATTGGTGTTTGGCCGGTAGCAAGTTTGCTGGTTGATTCGATTCAAATAGTTCTGCTGTTCAGAATAACCCCAAACCCTTCTCCATCTCCTCATCTCCATTCCCGTTCCAGCCATAGGCATATCGCAGGTGGTAGCAGTGGATTCAGTGGCGCTCGTGTTCGGCCCGGCAGCAGGCAGGCAGGCTGGTGGTTTCAAGCAGCTCTCGTATTCGCCTCACATGCTCCCTCCCTATTGCTCTCCTTATGTCCTCCCCCACCCTTCCAGCCATAGGCATATCTCAGGTGGTGGCGGTAGATTCAGTGACGCTCGTGTTCGGCCCGGCAGCAGGCAGGCTGGTGGCGCTGCTGGTGGCATTCAACGTGCTGGGCTCAGCGAACGGAACTCTGCTGTGCAACGCTCGATACTTTGTGAGTCAAAGGGTGCTGATTGAGTTGCATGCAGCAGGCACACAGGCAGGCAGGTGTGAAAGCAGGCAGCAGGCAGGCTGGTGGCGCTGCTGGTGGCGCTGCTGGTGGCGCTGCTGGTGGCGCTGCTGGTGGCGCTGCTGGTGGCGCTGCTGGTGGCGCTGCTGGTGGCGTTCAACGTGCTGGGGTCAGCCAATGGCACTCTGCTGTGCAACGCACGATACTTCGTAAGTTGAAAGACACATTGTGAATTCCATGCAGCAAGCACGCAGGCAGGCAGGCAACCCTACAGGAAGGCAGGCTGGTGGCGCTGCTGGTGGTGTTCAACGTGCTGGGGTCGGCCAACGGGACGCTGCTGTGCAACGCACGGTACTTTGTGAGTCGCATGCAGCAGGCACCAGCTATGCAGGCAAGCAGGCATGAAATCAGGCAATCATGCAGGCATACAAAAGGATGGGCAGGCAGGCAGGCTGGTGGCGCTGCTGGTGGCGCTGCTGGTGGCATTCAACGTGCTGGGGTCGGCCAATGGGACTCTGCTGTGCAACGCACGATACTTTGTCACATACTGTACCTTGCAAGTGTGAGATAACTCTTTCTTGTTGTTTTGTACCCCTTCTTCCCACCCTCACTCTTCTCACCCCTCTCACCCTTCTCACCCTTCTCACCTCCCACTGCTTGATCGACAACACGCTATGGCAAGAGAAGAGAAGGCTGCCTGCTTTGGTGACTTTTGAGTCGACTCAAAAGTCACCTCATTGACAGCACGTTCAACAAGTTTGAGGTGACTCATCGCCAAGCAGAGGTGACTTCTGAGTCGACTCAAAAGTCACCTCATTGACAGCACGCTCAACAAGTTTGAGGTGACTCATCGCCAAGCAGAGGTGACTTCTGAGTCGACTCAAAAGTCACCTCATTGACAGCACGTTCAACAAGTTTGAGGTGACTCATCGCCAAGCAGAGGTGACTTCTGAGTCGACTCAAAAGTCACCTCATTGACAGCACGTTCAACAAGTTTGAGGTGACTCATCGCCAAGCAGAGGTGACTTCTGAGTCGACTCAAAAGTCACCTCATTGACAGCACGTTCAACAAGTTTGAGGTGACTCATCGCCAAGCAGAGGTGACTTCTGAGTCGACTCAAAAGTCACCTCATTGACAGCACGTTCAACAAGTTTGAGGTGACTCATCGCCAAGCAGAGGTGACTTCTGAGTCGACTCAAAAGTCACCTCATTGACAGCACGCTATGGCACGAGAAGGCTGCCTGCCTCGCGTCTACTGCTTCCATCTATCCCCACCTCGCTTCACCTCACCCGACTGCATCCCACCCCACCTCAACTCACCTCACCCCACCTTACCCCACCTCACCCCGCCTCACTTCACCCCTCTTTTCGCACCGTCCAGTACGCCATGGCAAGGGAGGGTCGTTTGCCTCGCTTCAACGCGTCTTCGCTCGTTCGCTTCCACTCTCCAATAGTGCTCCACTCTCCAATAGTGCTCCACCCCCTTCAACCTTTTCACCCTCCTCACCCCTCTCCCCCCCCTCTGCTTGACTGACAGTACGCCATGGCAAGGGAGGGTCGCCTGCCTCGCTTCTTTGGGGCTGTCACTAAAGGCGGCGCTCCCTACGCTGCTCTCTGCCTTATAGTGAGTTTATGTTGGGCTTATGTATTGAGCCTACCTTACAATGACACTACGTTCTGGCGACGCTATGCTGCTTTGTGCTTCATAGTGAATCCCCTGTACATTGCTATCCGCCTTACTGCGTGTCTACTACACTGCTCAATGCCTCGAAGTGATTCGATCCTCCCCTGTGCCTTGAAGCGAGCCTGTTTAGCACTGACGCTACGTTGTAGTGACTCTATGCTCCTCCCTGGCTTGTAGTGAGTCTCTACTACCTCTATACGTCTTACTGAGTTTGAGAAGTGAGATTTCTATTCCTTTGATTTTGCGCGCGCACGCAATAACTCTTCTGCGCTAATCCCTTGCCTGTTAGTTTCTTATCTCATTCTCGTACTTTTATACTTTTCCTCCCCTCTTTTCCTCCCTCCATCCCTCCCTCTCTCTCCCTCGCTGTGCCAGGGGGGATGGACCATGGTTCTTCTCTTCTTTGCAGCCAATCAGCTTGAGAAGGTAATGAACTGTGCTGTACGTGCAAGCGATTGAACTTTCACGAAAAGGCATGGCCGGTTGTTGTCCTCACCAGGGAGGATGGACCATGGTTCTTCTCTTCTTTGCGGCCAATGAGAAGGTAAGGAACTGCGGGCACAAGTGATTGACATGCATGGAGAGCGATTGCCATTACCAGTTGAGTTCGCTCGTGAGGCGCCATGCTCCCAGGGGGGCTGGACTGGACCATGGTTCTTCTCTTCTTTGCAGCCAATCAGCTTGAGAAGGTAAGGAGCTGCGGGCACAAGTGGTTAGGTAGCATGCACAAAAAAACGGAATGCCATTTTTCCCCGTGCCAATGCCATACCACCGTAGTCTGAGGCTACCCTATGCCCATTCTGCTCTGCTCAGCATACCAATCACTCTCCTCTATTAAAGCGTTGCCACATGGGTTTTCCATGAAGCAGAAGCAACAGCACAACCAGCTTCTCATCCCCAGCTTATAGACTACTTTGGCATTGTCACGTGGATATTCCAAGGAGCAGTAGTAGCAGCAGCACTTCTGCACCATAGCAGCTTTCCCAGCTTCATCTATCTCTCCTCCCCTTTCCTGTTTCCCATCCCCAGCTTATAGACTACTTTGGCATTGTCACGTGGATATTCCAAGGAGCAGGGGTAGCAGCGATGCTGCACCATAGCAGCTTTCTCCCAGCTTCATCTATCTCTCCCCCTTTCCTGTTTCCCATCCCCAGCTCCTAGACTATGGCGGCATCGCCACGTGGATATTCCTCAGGGCGGTGGCAGCAGCTCTCTTCAAGCTCTACAGCCCCACGTATCCCCCTCCTATGCCCTCCGCATGCCTTTTCCTCTCCCACCCACAGCTCCTAGACTATGGCGGCACGTGTTTGAAGATTATTTTTGAGACGTCTCAAAAAAGACATCTCAAAAATAATCTTCAAACACCCACAGCTCCTAGACTATGGCGGCGTCGCCACGTGGATATTCCTCGGGGCAGTGGCAGCAGCTCTCTTGAATCCCCATCTGATGCCCCCTTATTCCCGTCCGCTTCTGCTCGGCTCCTGGACTACTTCGGCATCGCCACGTGGATATTCTACGGGGCAGTGGCAGCAGCCCTGCTACACAGTAGCCTCTAACTCCCCTCTTTTCCTCTCCCACCCACAGCTTCTCGACTGCTTCGGCATCGCCGCGTGGATATTCTACGGGGCAGTGGCAGCAGCATTAGCAACAGGCCATAACTTATTCTCCGCACTCCCCTTTCGCTCTCCCACCCACAGCTTCTCGACTACTTTGGCATCGCCACGTGGATATTCTACGGGGCAGTGGCAGCCAGCAGCACTACTAACAAACTGCAACTTGTTCTCCACAATCCCCTTTTCTGCTCCCCATCCTCAGCTCCTAGACTACTTTGGCATTGCCACGTGGATATTCTACGGGGCGGTGGCAGCAGCAACAGCGCTGCTACACTACACCATAGCATCTCTCTCAGCATGATCTAACTCTCCTCCTTTTCTGCTCCTCATCCTCAGCTTCTAGACTATTTCGGCATCGCCACGTAGATATTCTACGGGGCAGTGGCAGCAGCTCTTTTCAAGGTCCGATGGGCCTTCCCCAACGGCCCAAGGCCGTATGAGGCTCGGATCACACTCACTTTGGCCTGTGCGTGTGTTCTCTTCCCTATGTTCCCCACTGACAGCTTCTTGATTATTTCGGCATTGCCACGTGGATATTCTACGGGGTGGTGGCAGCAGCTCTCTTCAAGCTCCACATCTCCCTCCTATGCCCTCCTCATGCCTTTCCCTTCAGCTCCTGGACTACTTTGGCATTGCCACGTGGATATTCTACGGGGCAGTGGTAGCAGCCCTGCTACAGGGTAGCCTCTAACTCCCCTATTTTCCTCTCCCATCCACAGCTTCTCGACTACTTTGGCATCGCCACGTGGATATTCTACGGGGCAGTGGCAGCAGCTCTCTTATTCCCTATTTGTTCCTCCCCCATGCCCTGCCTCGTTCCGTATCTGTTCCCCACGCACAGCTCCTGGACTACTTTGGCATCGCCACGTGGATATTCTACGGGGCAGTGGCAGCAGCTCTGCCAACAAACAGCAACTTGTTTTCCACACTCCCTTTTCCTGCTCCCCATCCCCAGCTTCTTGACTACTTTGGCATCGCCACGTGGATATTCTACGGGGCAGTGGCAGCAGCTCTCTTCAAGCTCCGGTGGGCCTTCCCCAATGGGCCGCGGCCATATGAGGCTCGCTTCTACCCGCTCCCTCCTGTCATTGCACTCGTTGCTGCTGTGTGAGTGTTGGTGTGTGTGTTGATGTGGGTGTGTGTGTTGGTGTGGGTGTGTGTGTTGATGTGGGTGCGTGTATTAATGTGGGTGTGTGTGTTCATGTGGGGGTGTGTGCTGATGTTGGTGTGTGTGATAATGTGGGTGTGCGCTATGAACACCCCTGATGGGCCGCGGCCGTACAAGGCTCGCTTCTACCCGCTCCCTCCTGTCATTGCACTCGTTGCTGCCATGTGAGTGTGTAATGATTGCTGGCTGCTGTATGAGTGTGCGAGTGAGTGTGCATGGTTGCCGCTGTGCGAGTGTGCATGAGTGACTGTGTCGTTGAGGCCATATGAGATCGCCTTTACCCACTCCATCCCGTCATTGCACTCATCGCTGCTGTGTGAGTGTGCAATGGTTGATACTATGTGAATGTGAGTGTGTGCTATAGGGCTATGGTTTGCTCTCATAGCTGCTCTGTTTGTGCACGAGTGAGGTCCATTTGTGCTAACATCTGCCCAGCTTTGCTGTTTTTGATAATGCGTGGGTATGCTATTACCATTGCATGAATGCTTTGCTGTAAGCTTTTGCATCCTAATGCTCCTCCCATGCAAACTTTTGTTTCCAAATGACACATGTCCTCTTTTCCCCGTGCTGTGGTGCCTTCAATGCAAATGTTACAGATTTCTGGTCATAACGTCGCTATTTGCTCATCCAGTTCCGTCCATGGCATCGCTTGCCTTTGTTTTTGTTGCTTTCCCGTTGTACTATATTACCAAATGGTTCCAAGGCCAACGTCAGCCGTCATGCACCAATGCTATCGATCAGGGTTTGTTGCGATGATTTATTCTTATACATTAATGCTTATCAGTGGATTTTCTTGTGTGCTTCCTCTGAGCTTCACTGGTATCCCATAAGGAAATAATGTTTTGTATCAAAATGGGATTTTCATCATTATACTCTCATTTCAGCTTAGTGAAGTGATTGAACGGCCCATCAACTGTAGTATCGAGAATTCTTACGGCGGATCCAACTCAATTATTTTGGCGGTTTCACGCCCCTACAACGAAATATCAACCCCAACAGCACTTAAAGCCCAAGTTCCTCCGTCGCCCTCCCTTCCGCCGTCACCTTCCCTTCCGCCCGTCGCACTCACTTCCGCCGTCGCCATGCCTTCCGCCCGTCACCCTCCCTTCCGCCGTCGCCATCCCTTCCGCCCGTCACCTTCCCTTCCGCCCGTCGCACGTACTTCCGCCGTCGCCCTCCCTTCCGCCGTCACCTTCCCTTCCGCCCGTCGCACTCACTTCCGCCGTCACCCTCCCTTCCGCCGTCGCCATCCCTTCCGCCCGTCACCTTCCCTTCCGCCCGTCACCCTCCCTTCCGCCGTCGCCATCCCTTCCGCCCGTCACCTTCCCTTCCGCCCGTCGCACTCACTTCCGCCGTCGCCCTCCCTTCCGCCCGTTGCCCCCTTTGTCTCGTCGCGCTCCCTGCTGCTCATCGCCCTCCCTTCGGCTCGTCCCCTCGCAATCCCCGTATCTCTCTCCCCTCGTCGCCCTGGCATTCCCGTCACTGCTTCCCCCGTGTCCCTTCTCTGCTTCCCCCCATGTCCCCGTCCCTGCTTCCCCCCACGCCCTTCCATGCTTCCCCCCATCCCCTTCCCTGCGTCCCCATGTCCCTTCCCCTGCTTCCCCCCATCCCCTTCCCTGCTTCCCCGTGTCCCATTCCCTGCTTCACCCCATCCCCATTCCAGGTTCCCCCCAGCCCCTTCCCTGCTTTCCCCCATCCCCCTCTGTGCTTCCCCATGTCCCTTTCCCTAATTCCCCCCATCCCCTTCCCTTCTTCCCCCATCCACTTCCGTTTTATTCCCCCACCCCCTTCCCTGCTTCCCCATGTCCCCTTCCCTGCTTCCCCATGTCCCTTTCGCTGATTCCTTCATCCCCTTCCCTTCTCCCCCCATCCCCTTCCCTTATATTCCCCCAAGTCCCCTTCCCTGCTCCCCATGTCCCCTTCCCTGCTTCCCCATGTCCCTTTATCCCCTTCCCTTCTTCCCCCCATCCCCTTCCCTTATATTCCCCCATCCCCTTCCCTGCTTCCCCATGTCCCCTTCCCTGCTTCCCCACGTCCCTTACCCTGATTCCCCCATCCCCTTCCCTTCTTCCCCCCATCCCCTTCCCTCATATTCCCCCATCCCCTTCCCTGCTTCCCCATGTCCCTAGAGCTGATTCCCCCTCCCTTCCCTTCTCCCCCATCCCCTTCCCTTACATTCCCCCATGTCCCCTTCCCTGCTTCCCCCCACGCCCTTCCATGCTTCCCCCCATCCCCTTCCCTTCTCCCCCCATCCCCTTCCCTTACATTCCCCCATGTCCCCGTCCCTGCTTCCCCCCACGCCCTTCCATGCTTCCCCCTATCCCCTTCCCTTTTCCACCCATCCCCTTCCCTTATATTCCCCCATCCCCTTCCCTTCCCTCCCATGTCCCCTTCCCTGCTTCCCCCCATGTCCCCGTCCCTGCTTCCCCCCACGCCCTTCCATGCTTCCCCCCATCCCCTTCCCTGCGTCCCCATGTCCCTTCCCTGCTTCCCCCATCCCCTTCCCTGCTTCCCCGTGTCCCATTCCCTGCTTCACCCCATCCCCATTCCAGGTTCTTCCCTGCTTTCCCCCATCCTTCTCTGTGCTTCCCCATGTCCCTTTCCCTGATTCCCCCAATCCCCATCCCTTCTTTCCCCCCATCCCCTTCCGTTTTATTCCCCCTGTCCCCTTCCCTGCTTCCCCATGTCCCTTCCTGATTCCCGATCCCCTTCCCTTCTCCCCATCCCTTTCGCTTCCCATCCCCTTCCCTTCTCCGCCCATCCCCTTCCCTTATATTCCCCCATGTCCCCTTCCCTGCTTCCCCATGTCCCCTTCCCTGCTTCCCCATGTCCTTTTCGCTGATTCCCCCCATCCCCTTCCCTTCTTCCCCCCATCCCCTTCCCTTATATTCCCCCATCCCCTTCCCTGCTTCCCCATGTCCCCTTCCCTGCTTCCCCATGTCCCCTTCCCTGCTTCCCCATGTCCCCTTCCCTGCTTCCCCCTTCCCTTTCCCTGATTCCCCCCATCCCCTTCCCTTCTTCCCCCCATCCCCTTCCCTCATATTCCCCCATCCCCTTCCCTCATATATCCCCCTGTCCCCTTCCCTGCTTCCCCATGTCCCTTTCCCTGATTCCCCCCATCCCCTTCCCTTCTTCCCCCCATCCCCTTCCCTCATATTCCCCCATCCCCTGCCCTGCTTCCCCATGTCCCCTTCCCTGCTTCCCCATGTCCCCTTCCCTGCTTCCCCATGTCCCCTTCCCTGCTTCCCCATGTCCTTCCCCTTCCCTTATATTCCCCCATGTCCCCTTCCCTGCTTCCCCCCACGCCCTTCCATGCTTCCCCCCATCCCCTTCCCTGCGTCCCCATGTCCCTTTCCCTGCTTCCCCCATCCCCTTCCCTGCTTCCCCATGTCCCTTTCCCTGATTCCACCCATCCCCTTCCCTCATATTCCCCCATCGCCTGCCCTGCTTCCCCATGTCCCCTTCCCTGCTTCCCCATGTCCCTTTCGCTGTTCCCCCTCATCCCCTTCCCCTCTTCCCCCCATCCCCTTCCCTTATATTCCCCCATCCCCTTCCCTGCTTCCCCATGTCCCCTTCCCTGCTTCCCCACGTCCCTTTCCCTGATTCCCCCATCCCCTTCCCTTCTTCCCCCCATCCCCTTCCCTCATATTCCCCCATCCCCTTCCCTCATATTCCCCCTATCCCCTTCCCTGCTTCCCCCTTCCCTTTCCCTGATTCCCCCCATCCCCTTCCCTTCTTCCCCCCATGGGTTTCCCTCATAGGCCCCCATGTCCCCTACCCTGCTTTCCCCCATCGCCCTCTGTGCTTCCCCATGTCCCTTTCGCTGCTCCCCCTCATCCCCTGCACCTGCTTCCCCCCATCCCCTTCCCTCATATTCCCCCATCCCCTTCCCTGCTTCCCCATGTCCCCTTCCCTGCTTCCCCATGTCCCTTTCCCTGATTCCCCCCATCCCCTTCCCTTCCTCCCCCTATCCCCTTCCCTTATATTCCCCCATCCCCTTCCCTGCTTCCCTTGGTCCCCTTCCCTGCTTCCCCATGTCCCTTTCCCTGCTTCCCTTCCACCGTCATTGTCGCCATCCCTCCCTTCTCCCTTCCCAACTCGCACAATTGTCACGCCCACTCACTCCCTTGTTCTCCCACGCCCCACTCTCCCGCCCCTCAGCTGCTGGGAAAGCAGATCTACGACCGGATCCGCCCCGAGGCGAACCCCTCCGCGCACCGCCACGCCTGTCACGAAGCAGCAGCAGCCCACAGCACACTTCGGCAGGTTATGCGAGATAGGGCGCGCAGCTGGCAGAGCTGCGGGGCAGCCTCTTCTCGAGACTGCCTTCAGCCTCCCCTGCTTACACATACCATATGCTGACCTGCGCCCGATAAAGCCCTGCATTTGCTGTTGCCGCCCTCCCTGTGTGTAAGGAGGGATTGGCAGCTGCAACGCGCGACAGCCAGCACTGTGCAGGCAACTGTGTTGACTCTGGATCATGGGCCAAAGGCATTTGAATCGAGTAGATCTGTGTGTTGTGCTCAGTTCGAAGTGGCATGGTAGGAAGGCGCATGAAGGCAAGCACAAAGTGGAGAGGCCGCGGCATGATATTGAGATTGGCAGCAGGGATTGACTTGTGTGTCGTGCTTTGTTTGGTGCCAATGGTTTATATGCTGAAACGGGTTTACCTGTTGATGATACTGTGTACTGTTTATGCATCTCTCAATTTTGACACCTGCTCCAACGCGGAAAAATGCATCAAGTGAGCTTGTGCCTAGCTGTGATATTCCCTACCAAAAATAACACAACATAGCCAATGTCAATCATACTAGAATCCAAAAACGGGTTCTCGGTATAAAGGTGTGTCATGCATGGTGAACACGCGGTGTGCCAAAGATTGTTTATGTCGGTACGTAGCACTTCAAATCCGTAAAGCACACTTGCCGTTGTAGAGCCGGACACATCATAGTCGGTCGCTTTGATTGACCTGCAGGTTCACCAAGCATGACGCCCCCTTGTAAAAACGACTTGCTGTTGCCTATAAACTAAAGACGATTTCCCCAAGATACATGCGGAGATTTATGCGGAGCTTCACTCCAGACGGTCGAGCTGAATGTCTCTAGGTAAACCCAGCCGAAAGGAATGGCCAAGAGTGGCGGCATCGGGCACATGAAAGGATGGGTAGATGGGATATTTCGAGGGGCTCTCCTTGATGGAGCTTTGCAATGGCTGATCTGCGAACAGGGGAGGGGGGGGATGGGGGGGTTGTGGGGGGAGTGGGGTGGGGGCCAGAGGAGAATAGAATACGGATAAGGGAGCTGAGTAGGGAAGCGGATGGGGGGAAGCAGGGAAGAGGATGGGGGGAAGCATGTAAAGGGATGGGGGGAAGAAGGGAAGGGGATGGGGGAAAGCAGGGAAGGGGATGGGGGGAACCAGGAATGGGAATGGGTGAAGCAGGGAAGGGTGTTGGAGTAGGCTAGAGTTCGCTCTGGCCTTTATTTTGGTGTTCTTATATTGTTATTTCTCTGGGCTTAGAGAGCGTTACGCACTCAGGTTCATTTTAGGTTCATTTCATAATTGTTAGAACAAACCGAACACACCCTAGGTTCAATTAGGGTTTCCAACCCTCTCTCTTTTGTATCTCGACATTCTCTTACTAGTCGAACTACTTCTAACTCACCAAAACCTCTCGCCATCCATGGCTACTACTAATTCAACAAAGGGGACACGGGGAAGCAGGGAAGGGGATGGGAGGAAGCAGGGAAGGGGATGGGGGGAAGCAGGGAAGGGGATGGGGGGAAGCAGGGAAGGGGAAGGGGGAAGCAGGGAAGGGGACATGGGGAAGCAGGGAAGGAGATGGGGGAAAGTAGGGAATGGGATGGGGGGAAGCAGGGAAGAGGATGGGGGGAAGCATGTAAAGGGATGGGGGGAAGAAGGGAAGGGGATGGGGGAAAGCAGGGAGGGGGATGGGGGGAACCAGGAATGGGAATGGGTGAAGCAGGGAAGGGGACACGGGGAAGCAGGGAAGGGGATGGGAGGAAGCAGGGAAGGGGATGGGGGGAAGCAGGGAAGGGGATGGGGGGAAGCAGGGAAGGGGATGGGGGGAAGCAGGGAAGGGGAAGGGGGAAGCAGGGAAGGGGACATGGGGAAGCAGGGAAGGGGATGGGGGAAAGTAGGGAATGGGATGGGGGGAAGCAGGGAAAGGGACACGGGGAAGCAGGGAAGGGGATGGGGGAGGCAGGGAAGTGGATGGGGGGAAGCATGTAAAGGGATGGGGGGAGAAAGGGAAGGGGATGGGGGGGAGCAGGGAAGAGGATGGGGGGAAGCATGTAAAGGGATGGGGGGAAGAAGGGAAGGGGATGGGGGAAAGCAGGGAAAGGGACACGGGGAAGCAAGGAAGGGGGCATGGGAAGCAGGGAAGCGGATGGGGGAAGCAGGGAAGAGGATGGGCGGAAGCATGTAAAGGGATGGGGGGAAGAAGGGAAGGGGATGGGGGGAAGCAGGGAAGGGGATGGGGGGAACCAGGAATGGGGATGGGGGGAAGCAGGGAAGGGGACACGGCGAAGCAGAGAAGGGGACACGGCGAAGCAGGGAATGGGATGGGAGGAAGCAGGGAAGGGGATGGGGGGGTAGCAGGGAAGGGGACATGGGGAAGCAGGGAAGGGGATGAGGGGAAGCAGGGAAGGGGACATGGGGAAGCAGGGAAGGGGATGGGGGGAAGCAGGGAAGGGGATGGGGGGAAGCAGGGAAGGGGATGGGGGGAAGCAGGGAAGGGGATGGGGGGAAGCAGGGAAGGGGATGGGGGGAAGCAGGGAAGGGGACATGGGGAAGCAGGGAAGGGGATGGGGGGAAGCAGGGAAGGGGATGGGGGGAAGCATGTAAAGGGATGGGGGGAGAAAGGGAAGGGGATGGGGGAGAAAGGGAAGGGGATGGGGGGAAGCAGGGAAGGGGATGGGGGGACACGGGGAAGCAAGGAAGGGGACATGGGGAAGCATGTGCTGCGGATGGCTCTGTGAAAACTGACCTGCACGTAGGCGATGGTGCGATGTGCCCTTCTTCCTGTGGCAGCCTACTCGACCGATGATGCTCAAGTTTTGTGCCACGGCTGTAGCTTCAAGTGCGGAATGGCATGCAACCCCGTTCTGCAGCTGCACAAAGGCAACCAGAGCCAATTACCGCAATGCATGAGGCACGTGACATTCATGCACGACACCGAGCCAATATGCGACTGCAACAGCATTGAAGAGCTGAAAGTAGATGATGTTACAGAGAGGAGCGGACGAAAACTCACCTGCCAGTGCAGTGTGATTTGAATTCGAGATGAACACAGCTTCAGCGACCAACGCAGTGCACAGGCGGAGGCAACTAGTCCTGCAGGTAGCTGGAAAACCAGACAGGGACGGCAGATACGTGAGTTGCAAGGCCAGTGCGTCATCAGCAGCTATGACGTTTGTGCTTGAGGCACCAGAGAGAGACTACCCCGGGTGACTATAAACTGTGTGGCAAAAGCAGCAAAGCCCGAGTTCTGCTATGCTTGCGGCACTTGGAACGTGCCTGTTCACATGCCTGAGAGTAACGTCCGTGATGCGGAATAAGTGACTGGAGGCGAATTGACTTCAAATTACTGTGTCCGCAGGCAGACATCACCTGCGGCGTGGGAGGCGGTTGCTGTAGCAGATGCACACACTCATCTAGAACTTGCTGCCTGGACTTCCGATGTGACGTTCGCTTAGTTGACTGTTTCGGATGTTCCATGCGTATGTTGCTGTAGATACGCCAGTAGTAGGTTCTTTGCACTTGTGTAAGCCCGCTGTAGAACGTGCGGTGCTGTGAATCGCGAGGCTGCTTCCACTCGGACCCCTTTTGCACGTTTTTCTTCCCTGCGGCGCGTGCAATTCATGCTAAACCGAGTCGCTTTCGCCATACGTAGTCAAAGAGTTGGCTTACCGAGTATTAGTAGCGCGGCTCGATGGATGTAAACCGTACCCTACTCTTCCACCGGGCGATTTCTCGGTTTTCTCCCTCCCTTGCGCCGTCTTGTTCGCCTCCTCCCACGCCTGTCGATGACGATTCTTTGACGGAGCTCAAGTTAGTACCTAGAATCTAATGTCCATGGGCGCTTGATGCTCTCGTCGCCCTGTGTTTGTCCCACCGATTTGGTTGCAAGGGCCCTGCGGGTCCGTGCCTATTTGCGGTCGCGTTACTCAGCCCTTCGATCCACTTCTGATGTTTCCTCTCTTCTCTCTGAACATCTTTTCCTAAACATGGTGCTCGCCATCTCGTAGCGACGGACACTTCTCAACTCGCTTGTCCGTGGTGTCGCTATCGACAGGCATATGTTGTGATCTCCTGCGATGCATCGTAAACGGCATGCGCGACGCGCTTTTTTGCCGCTTCCGCCTGTCTCTTACTACGCACGGTAGGTAGTCGTGCGTCTCGTGAGAGTTGTCGAGCTGAGATTCTCGTGGCATGCAATTCATGGCTGGTGGTGCGTTTTTCTTCTACCTACCCTTCGGCCGACTGCATTGACGCCAAAACTGACCTGTATCTCCCTGTTTTCATGTTTTCCCCACCCTGGTTGGTTGTATTGCTATGTTCTTTTGCACGTTCGTCACGTCCGCACCCTGATTGGTTGCACTCTTTGGCACCTGACGGGTCGCCCTGGTTGTCGCCCCTATCGTCAGCCTTCTGGGCCACACTTCGTGTGGCGAACTTGTGTGATGCTTCGCCAGGGTAGTCTCAACGAATGAAGTTCTCGCTACTCTGTTCTGCAGTGTTTAAAGCCCTAAATCTGAAAACCACTTTGCCATGCTGACCTCGGGCTTTAACCCGACAAATTGCGAAAACCTTGATGGGCTAACACAATTGATTTGGACCAGCCCTGCGTGCCAGAAACTACCGAGTCGGGTACTTAATCGTTCATTATTCTATCAACAAGCTAGTATCCATTGCAATCCATTGTCGGAACGTCGGATGCGGTTCTTCGACTATGCCTGTTTGAATAGGTGCGTGCTCGCACCATCTTGTGTGCGAATCTCTCAGCCGGTTGTTCCGGTCGACAAGGCGAGGAGGCGAAGCGCGAAAATGTCAGGCGCGTATTTCGTATCTCTGTTTGCTCGGCTCTAGGCTCCTTTTCGGGCAATGGCTGTTCAGAGAGACGCACTTGCCCTTTAGGACTTGGGGGTGATTGCGAAGCTCGTGAGCGACTTCGCACAGATCTAGATCGACGAACATCAGGCTTCTCCGGCGAGTTGTTGTCAAGCGGACTTGGAACAAACTCAGAACTAACCGTTGCGATCGGTATAGTGTCGTAACTGCGGCGCCGCCCCGGCCGAGGCGGCACCTCCGCGCCGCGTCTGCCTGAACCCGGCGTGCCGCCAACATTACCATTAGTGATACCATAAGGGGGGCTGAAAGTATTATAATCGCCACTTCTGCGTGTACTATCAGCAGATGTTGTCGTACCGTTGGGTTCGCTACTGCTTCGAGTGAATCCGATCAAGGATTCCGTCGATGCGCTATTCTTCACTCCAGACACAATCGCAGCTTGCAATGTCAGATCCTGCCAACTGTTGTCGCCGTCTCCCCGCTTATGCGATGCTTCGATTAAGTGGTAAGTCACTCCGCGTCTCAACGGGCGGGAAGGGGGGAGCGGAACCGGCGCGAACGTGGAAAGCGCGACTTGGTGTCGCGGGAAGTCGCCCATGATGTCTGCGACGAGCAGGCTGGGTTGCCGATCATAATCATGGGATAATGGATCATCATAAGTCGCGTCGGAATTGTTACGGTAACTGGAACCGCAAGGTACGCCTTTCCCCGTCTGCTCTCCCACCTTCTCCGCGCTTTTCATCCGCCTTAAAGCCAGTTTTCTTTCCTTCACACTGAGAGGCAGGCGGAGCTGGGGCGGGCTGCCAGTGCTCTCTGACGGTTGACTTTTCATACGCCTTAAAGCCTGCTTCATCTCCGTGATGCTTGGAGGCAAGCAGAGTTGCGGCGGGCTCCCGCTGGGTCGTTTTGGAACGAAGGTCGTTGCTGACGCGGCTTGCTCGCTGCCGTCCCGGCTCTCGCAGCCGCTCATGCTTTGGGTGCGGCAATGGCGACGACGGCCGTTACTTGCGGCGCGAATCCCGGGAGTGATTTTGCAGTAGCTCTGACTGCGATCGAGGCGAGGGATGACGTCATCTTGAGTGCATATCAAAGTCGGGCCTCGTACTTGTCGCGATTCCATGATTGCGGCGAAACTCACGGGGGTTGTGCTGGCAAGATACTAAGGTATTGATGCAAAAGGTCTGCTTCCTACGCTCCTAAGCAGAAATCTTCACTCACGTAAACTGCTCCATACTTACCATAGTTTTATCTTTCTCAGCGAAGCTTGATTGTCACATCGAATCGCGACGAAATCGGTCGATATGAGTTGATTGGCCACTTGTACGTTGGCCAATTTTGGCGTGTACCACCCGATTCCGAAGGGCTAAAGGATGAGTGATGTAGCGTATATTGTCACGACGCTACGGTTGAAAATCCGTGCCGCTCACGCTCTTCGCTGCGGTTAGATGGCGCCGACTATGGCCCAATTTCCCGCACCTTCTCTCGAACCCTCCTCAATCTCAACTCTCTCGTCGTATCCCTCCTGTGGGCGTTACTCTTCTAGGGGACGCCATACCACTACTTAGGACAATTACTGTGTGGGAAAGACCATCCGCAGCAGAGCGGTTGGACAAGCGGAAAAGAACCAGAATACCAACTGGATCGCTCGCGACACTCGTCAAACGACTGTAACTTTGGCGAACTAGCAGCAGCCAATCTGCTGGACGTGCGAGTGGGCGCGGGCGAATTCAGCGCAGCATAGCGAAGTCTGTTAGCGAAACGGTATAAGGACGCGGCACCTGTTTTCATTTTGCCATTATCGGGGCCTCACATCGATCCCCACACATCGATCGGCACACTGATGTGCCCACACTGCAAATTTGCAGTAGGATTCACATCGAGCCAGGATCGAAATTGCAGGGTCGGGCAGGTTGGGGCTGCCTCGTAATAGACCAACACATTGGAACGCGCAGCCAATCAGGGCAGAGCGTGGTTGGTCGCCCAGCAATTTCATTCGCAACGACTCGAGAATTTTCGGCCTGCGACCGTGGGCGACGCCGATCGATCGCGGCAATCACCTGTGGCTCGATGTGCTCTCCCGACAATCCAAAAGCACGATCGATGTGTGCACCACGGCACATCGATTGTGCGAGCTGCAGGTGCCACCATTTTGGGTACCTGTTTACTGTACATTCTCGACGTTGTGCGAAATATGGATACCAGGCATTGGCGATGTCGCCAATGCACTGTACAAGCGGCACATAGATCCTCTCCCACGATCGATCCTGGCAAAATGAAAACAGGTGCCGCGTCCTAAGTGTCCTCCGCGGACAGTGCGCTGCCTGTGGGTGTGTCGTCCTAGGATAAAATCGAAATCGTGCAATCCTGTCATGACAGCTGGGAGCACACTGGGGGACATTGTCGAGGGGGCTTGAAAACGAGAGGCTATAGAATGGGTGCGCTAGGGGTCATAGTCCGTGATAGGAATGAAAAATATACAGTGTGTAAACACTTCAGCAAAATACAATGAAGTCTATGCATATATTCGTTAATAATTTTGGGATGACTGTACCAGATTTAAGCATTGCTATGTATGCATTCGATCGTACTTTTCTACATCCAGAATCCTGGTTTTGTTTAGCCCGCACTTGGTTTCTATGAATATGGGAAATCTACAGCCTCCTGTCAATTTAGAGTTTTACAAGTAGCATGCTCTGGCTTGTGTTGTGAGCAATGCATAACGGTACAAGAAACGCACTCTCAAGTGGTATAGAGCAAACATGACAATGAGCAGAGAACCAAGAGGCTATGCAGGAAAGGAAACATAGTTGTCCAATCAACTTAGTCTAAATACACTTTGAACAGCTTATTACCCAGCTTGCTGCTGGAACTTCCAAATATTGATCCCTCGGACTCTTACGTATCGTCTGTCCAACTTCTCCCTGCATTTATTTAAGACCAGAGTCTTCTGTTGCTGCTCAGCGCGCCATCTGTTGCCCTGTAGGTGGCACTTTACCCGCAGCCATGAAGCGCCGTGTGTTGCCCAGATAACCTGGTAACGAGGTAACAGGGAAAGAGGGAATCATGCGGGATAGGCATGGATGGACGTGGAGAAAGTAGGAGTGTGTCCGTTGGGACATGGAGAGCGAAGAAGAAAACCGAAGGGAGGGGTGAACGGTCATGTGAAATAGGCAGGTGAGCAAGTTCCTCCCAACTCACCAGCCCTACCAAGCCTCTTCCTCACAAGCCTAGAGTTTGCAGCCTCGGTAGCTAGTTCGGCTCCCAAAAGGTTCTCGAGCTTGCAGTGTGCACCAATAGTGTGCAGGGCAGTCACCAACGAAGAATGAAAAACTTTGACTTACCGAGCCTGAGCTACAGTCTCGGACGTACCAAGCTTGGGCTCCCAGCCTCGGTTCTTACTCTCGTGGTACTCCTGGTAGATGGCGCATTAGAAGCAGAAATGGTGCACAGAGCTGTCCCCAAAGCAGTACCCGAGCCTGTCACTTACCAAACCTGCCTTACAGCTTCGGGCTTACCGAGCTTGGGCCCAGCCTCGGTTCTTGAGCTCCCAGCTCTCCTGGCAGATGTTCATTGGAAGCAGAAGGTTGCACGCAGCGTCCCAATGGCGTAACCAAGCCTGTGTCCTTCCGAGCCTGGGCTACAGCCTCGGGCTTGGGCGCACAGTCTCGGTTCTGCCTTGGACTTACCGAGCTTGGGCTCCCAGCCTCGGTTCTTGAGCTCGGTGCTGCTGGCAGATGGCACATAGGAAGCAGAAGGTGTGCACGCAGCAGTCCCAACGCCAAGCCTGTGACTTACCGAGCCTGGGCAACAGCCTTGGACTTACCGAGATTGGGCTCCCAGCCTCGGTTCTTGAGCTCGCGGTACTCCTGGCAGATGGCGCACAGGAAGCAGAAGGTGTGCACGCAGCAGCTCCAACACAGTGCCCAAGCCTCTACCGAGCCTGGGCAACAGCTTCGGACTTACCGAGCTTGGGCTCCCAGCCTCGGTTCTTGAGCTCGCGGTACTCCTGGCAGATGGCGCACAGGAAGCAGAAGGTGTGCACGCAGCAGTCCCCGCACGGCTTGGCTGGCAACATGTACTTCTGCCTCAGCTTCGTGCGGAAGCCTGGGGGAGAAGCAGGGATAGGGAGTCGGAATCAGAGATGCGCAATGAGATGAGCGCGTGTTAAGCTGCCTCAACACGCTCGGCTTGGCTGGCAGCATGTACTTCTGCCTCAGCTTCGTGCGGAAGCCTGGGGGAGGGTGGAAGGTGGCCGTATAGTGTAGGGGAGAAGGACTTGTATAAGATGACTTGCAGCAGTCCCCGCAGGGCTTGGCTGGCAGCATGTACTTCTGCCTCAGCTTCGTGCGGAAGCCTGGGGGAGGTGCGGCGATGGAAGGTAGGGAAGGGAGTAGAGGATTGGGAATGGCTAATGGCTAACCGCTGGCACATGGCAGCATGCCTCAGGTTTTGACGGGTGCATGACGGGCGGTGGAAGGTTGGAGGAGGGAGGAACACAGATTGAAGGGGAAGAGAACGTTTCGAAGTTATCTTGGGAAGGGCCAATAATGAGGGCAGAATCTGGTGCCAGAGTCTTGTGTAGAAAATAGCCGTTACAGTCTGCTCCGTTAAGGCCAAGGCAAAAGAGTCTTACCGCAGGAGTAGAAGCAGCCCATGCCGACTAGAAGCTCGATGATGTACCAGAGACAGCAGGCTGTGCCGGAGTCTGGTGAGGAAAAAGGCAACAGAAAAGGAGCAACAAATGCAGAGAAAAGAAGGGCAGGGCAGGGACAGAAAGGGAGCAGGGAAGAGGTGGGTCTTGCATCATCTCAAGCGACAAGACAGACAGACGAGCATAATCTCATTCAGCTACCAGAGGCAGCAGGCCGTGCCAGAGTCTGGTGGGCGAGAGAAGGGAATGAACAGGGAAGCAACAGGGAATCTACAGGGAAGCTGAGGGAAAGAACAGAGGAGGAGCAGTGAAAGAACAGCGAAGTCCAGCGAAGAGGTGACTTTGAGTAAACTCTAAAAGTAGCCCACACAGACGAGAGCTTGATGATAAACGGAGTCAGAGGCAGCAGGCGGTGCTACGGTCTGGTGCGCGAGGGAAGCAACGGAGATTGTGGGTGGATTTGGTAAAAACGGAGGGGCGACTAACGAGAGCAAAGAGACAATGCGAAAAATGTTGGTGAACGGGAGTGCACGCAACTGCTGGCCAGATTCATTTGTTCATCATGAGTCGACTCAGAAGCACGTTACACTGACCACGTCTCGAAAAGAGATTTCTCCGTGACGCCATTGCGGTAAGCGATTTACCTGTGAAGCCATCTGTTACGATTTCCGCGTTTCGGCCGACGATGACGCACGGGCACCAGAGCGCGCAGCAACCTGCAGAAAAAAAAAAACATCAGAAAATGAAAGAAATAAAGGAAGGAAGGAAATGAGTAAGAAATAAAATCAAAGCGTCAAGGCGCTTTAAGAGTTGCATCTCAGGACCCAGGGTTACTGAACAATGGGCTTACAGGAGCCGCAGTCTTTTGAGTCGACTCAAAAGTCAGCATCAAGGCGCTTTAAGAGTTGCATCTCAGGACCCAGGGTTATTGAACAGTGGGCTTACAGGAGCTGCAGTCCTTGGTACAACCGCAGAGAATTGGAACAATGGAAAGACAAAACTCATCAAGAACAAGTGTGACGATAGAAATCGCAACGTTTTCCTGAACAATGGGCTTACACGTGCCGCAGTCCTCAGTGCAACCGCAGAGGCCGGTCGTCCAGGTGCCCATCCGCACGGACGACGGAGCCATGAATACGCACGAAGGTCCTTACCTGCAAGCAAAACCGTGGGTACTATAATTAAGGGCTTACAAGTGCCGCAGTCCTCGGTGCACCCGCATAGGCCGGTCGTCCACGCGCCCATCGGCACGGAAGACGGAGGCGTCGCCATAGTTGACTCTTGAGTGACTTTCGTTGACTTCCCGAGTCCTCTTGTGCGAGATGTTAACTCTGAAGAACAGAATATTTTTCAGCTTGTCGAGGGTCGCGTTTTGACTCGCGAGCTTGACGAGGGTAACTTGGCGGCTTGAATTCCTATCGACAATGAACAGACCACGTAGGTGTCTACCAGTTACTTTCGTCGAGAAAATTGCTGCCGCAAATAATATCTCAAGTGTCAACTCGGGAATATGGAAACCCCTATACAGATAGACCTAGCGTGAGCCAATTACAAAAATATATATGAAAAAAAAGCAGAAAAAGAAGCCAGCAGCGAAGATTGGGAGTCAAATAACGAGAGGTGTGGAGGTATGAGGGCAGACTGTCAGGACGAGATTTCTCGCTGCTTACTGTGACGGAGGTTTGGGTTCGAATTACACCTGCCTTTCCACAAGTGCGGGCCAGAATGCGAGTAGAGATGAGGGAAACGAGGAGGCAGAGTTGAACGGGGGTTGGACGGGATGATAGCTTCTAGACAGGGATTGGGTGGTTAGCTGTGTTGAGAAACGCGTTCCAAACGACAGGCGTGAGAATCTAATGTGATGGGTTGTCAATTCAACCTTGAATTTGTTCATCGGGTGGGTGGTTTGAATGTGCGCTTCGCTTCCCAAAAACGAGGAATGAGGATGGCCGCTTCCTTTCGCGCGGCGCAACGACTTCGCTGTGGGACTCGGGGGAGGGGTTGGGTGTACCAAACGCTGCTTCCCCCGGGTCCCCCGTTTCCCCCTTTCATTCTCGCCGCATTGCGCCCCAATAATGGTTGGGTGGAGGAGGGCACATACGGGAAGGAGGTCCGAGCCGCGCTGTCCACCTGAATTGGGGACAGGCTGGAATTATTGGAGCCCAAGCCTGCCGCAATGTGCGGCGCAAGGAGGCGAAACAAAAACCAGGCAGAGACCTTCGCGATTATGGCAACAATTGTTCGACGACGAAGTTCGTTACAATCGGACCATTTCACAGACATAGGCTCGTTATATCCTTTACCTTACACCACCTCTATGGTTTCACACTACACCTGACTTCAGATTTACCACCATGTAAATACTGTCAACAAGCAGTGATGGATCATGGCTTACTGCACACCAGAAAATGAACCAGATTTTAGATCTTGTAGTGATGCACGGGACGTACACCTCATAAACTGTGATGCAAAACAAACCAGGTGAGTCGGTCGGTACGTAATGATTGTGGAACAATTATCTCAAAAAGTGTGTGCACCCTATGCTTTCTCAAGTCCGCCCAGGAAACCAGGAGAATCCACAGGTGATGAACCAAAAGGAAGTGGTAAGGAGTCTGGAAGTGAGAAGTCAAGGGCCTTAGAGAGCTGAGGTTGAAATTGGAACTCTGACATTGCCTGCAACCACGCCAACGGGAAACCAACAGAACAGGGGCCTTTTGAGAAGAGTCCCAATAGAGAAGCACTCATGCTTCCGGTTTAAATAATGGGACGTTCATAATCAGGCCGACCAACTGCACTTCCCTGCTCGTAACTGAAGCGCAGGTAAAATCATTGCGGGAGTGTTCAAACTGTCAAGAGTCGGACATCAAATGCCATTTCCAAGCAACGCAACAAGCCAAAACAGAAAATCCCCTCTCACTTCACCACAGGAATGAGTGCCTGCTGCAGCAGCTTCAAGCACAACTCTGCAGAGAATCTTGCTCCTTCCGTGTGCTTGAAGAAGTGTTTTGAGACGTCTCAAAACGCTCCTTCCGTGTGCTCTTCTCCAGACCCCTCCCCTTTGAAAGAGCTTCAAAAACAGACCTGAAACAAGGGAGTGAGTGGCTGCTGCAGCAGCTCAAGGCACCGCGCTGCAGTGGTAGTGGCTGCACGCGTGTGCAATGCTCCAGCTTCTCGTTTGTATGAGCCTCAAAAACAGACTGTAACTCACCAAGGGAGTGAGTGGCTGCTGCAGCAGCTCAAGGCACCGCCACTCTGCAGTGGTCGGGGGTGCGTGTGTGTGTAACTGCTGCACACTCAGGCACTGCCGCTCTGCAGTGGTCGGGGCTGCATGCGTGTGTAACTGCTGCACACTCTCACTTCTCAGGCGCTTAAAAGAAAAGACCTGCAACTCACCAAAGGAGTGAGCGGCTGCCGCAGCAGCTCAAGGCACCGCTCTGCAGTGGTAGTGGATGGACGTGACAAAGGTTCCAAATTCTCTCGCCTCTTCCACTCCCGAATTCGCACCTTCAGCGACGGCAGTGCTTTCCAGATCAAGCGAGTTGCTGTTCGCACAGTGCGTGGCGCAAGGAGAATGCGATTGTTAGGAAACGGGAAAGATTGGGGGGTCAACACGAACGGGGAACAACAGGAATGGAGGAACAACAGGAATGGAGGAACAACAGGAATGGAGGAACAACAGGAATGGAGGAACAACAGGAATGGAGGAACAACAGAATGGAGGAACAACAGGAATGGAGGAACAACAGGAATGGAGGAACAACAGGAATGGAGGAACAACAGGAATGGAGGAACAACAGGAATGGAGGAACAGAGTATCTGTGGAAAAAAAGGGCACCTGTGGCATCGTCAGGAATCAAGAGGTAAATTTGCCTCAAAAGATGTCCAAATCTGAGCTGCCTCAAAAGATGTCACATCGGTGCGGTCCAAATGCATGAAGCCACTTTTGAGGCGCCTCAAAAGATGTCACATCGGTCCGGTCCAAATGCATGAAGCCACTTTTGAGGCGCCTCAAAAGATGTCACATCGGTGCGGTCCAAATGCATGAAGCCACTTTTGAGGCGCCTCAAAAGATGTCACATCGGTGCGGTCCAAATGCATGAAGCCACTTTTGAGGCGCCTCAAAAGATGTCACATCGGTCCGGTTCAAATGCATGAAGCCACTTTTGAGGCGCCTCAAAAGATGTCACATCGGTGCGGTCCAAATGCATGAAGCCACTTTTGAGGCGCCTCAAAAGATGTCACATCGGTGCGGTCCAAATGCATGAAGCCACTTTTGAGGTGCCTCAAAAGATGTCACATCGGTGCGGTCCAAATGCATGAAGCCACTTTTGAGGCGCCTCAAAAGATGTCACATCGGTCCGGTCCAAATGCATGAAGCCACTTTTGAGGCGCCTCAAAAGATGTCACATCGGTCCGGTCCAAATGCATGAAGCCTCAATTGTTTTAGGCGCCTCAGAAGTTATCAAGATGCACATGGGTCCAGTCCAGCAGAGGATCAAACTCATCTGCGTTGGGCATTTCCAGGCAGCTTTAGGTAAAAAAAAAAACCAAGTGCAACTTACCATTGGGACGCGGCACTGGTAGCCGGCAACAAGTCACTGAGAAGCATCACCCCCCCAGGAGGGGTCGGCAGAAGCACCTCTCTTGCCGCCCCTCCTCTTCCAGCCGATAACAGCACTCCCCCTACGGCTCCCTCTCTTGCCCGATCTCCACCCGAAGACAGGGCTTGGGGTAGAGCAGGTGCGGAAAACTCTGCAGCAGCAGCAGCTGAAGCCCCTGTCGCGGCCAGAACGCCTCCAGCACTGGGAATCCCTGCAGTAGGATCGGAGGCGGCTGCAAAGAAAGCAGCCAGTTGAGGAGCAGCCAGAAACCCCCTCGGATCAGCAGAGCCCCCCACGCTGCTGTCTGCTCCACATGTGCTTTCCCCTTCGATATAGTCACCAGCAAGATGTTCAGCAGAGGAAGAAGTGCTTAAAACGGGATTTTCTGAAGCTAGGGAAGCCGGGAGTGCGGGTGGTGCGGGAAGCGGCTGTCTGGGAAGGTTCTGGGAAGCGTTCGCAGATTGTTCAACGCTAGCGGCAGTGGTGGGTTTGCTAGCACTGGTTGCTCTGGTAGCACTGGGTATGGCAGTGTCTGCTTCCAGCAGGAGTGGCACTGTGGCAGGAAAGAGAAGGGTGTAGGAAGAGTCTGTGGTGGTGAGGCTTGGATTGTTGTGGTCATGGGAGGGGTGACTGGTTGGCCTTGTCACTCTTGTTGTTGGAGAAGGTAGACACGCAGGGGATTGTACGTGGATTGGTGCTCTGGTTGAAAGAAGAGAATCCACCTGCTTCTGTCATGTCAAACGGAGTTTTTTGGAGGGATGGTGAAACAGGAGAAAGACAAGGGAGGGTGTGATTGGTCAGACTGGTCACTCTTGTTGTTGGGGTTGGTAGAGACGTAGGGGATTGTATGTGGATTGGTGCTCTGGTGGAGAGGAGAGTATCCACTTGTTTCTGTCATGACACAAGGGAACAGAGGGATGGTGCACAAGAGAAAGAGAAAGGTGCCTTCAAGAATGAGGGAACATGGATACTGTATGGCTGCTGCGGTGAAGAGGACGGGATACTCCTGCTTCTGTCACGGCACAAGGCAGCAGAGGGGTGGTGAACAAGAGAAGGGTGCATATGAGAATGGGTATGGGGGGGTGAATGTGGGACTGGTGCTGTGGTGGTGAGCATGGGAGTCCCATGATGGGACCCACCTGGCTCTGTCCCACAAATGGCAGCAATGTGGCAGACATTGGTACTTTGAATAAGACGCCTAATTAAGGGAAACTGAATGCAGGTGGAACGGGGAGCAAGCAAGGCCATTATTACCGAAGGTGGAATTGAGAACAAAAGATTATAAAATTTATGGCGGGGGGTGTACACTAGATTACCACTGGACTTGCAAGTCAAAGAGTGAAGGGCAAGGTTGAAGGGTGAAGGGCATTCAAGTGAATGCATGCAAGTGAATGCATTCAAAGGAAAGGCTTCCGCATCAAGCTTCGCCTAGGAAATAGCATCAGCAATCCATACGAAGCTAGAGTATCCGCCAGCCAACAGGATGTTAGATGGCAGATGGTGTTTGATT